CCATATTTTTAAATATTTTTAACTTGGTTGGTTATTATTGTATTTTTGTTTCAGGTTCTCAATAGACATTAGTACAGTCGAGCCTCTGCTCAGATGGTTTATCCGTTCTATTCGGCAATGATAGTGAGAATGATTAGTCATAAATCTACAACAATACACATTATTGCACTTGTCTTACGACTATTCTTATAAAAAAATACAGTAACCGATAAACTTTTTACAATGTGACCTACACTAACGGCTGCTTATTGCAATTGTTTTAAGAATATTTTTGTTATAATATAATAATAATCTTACATTCATTTGTCTTAGGCCCATTCTCGTAAGTAATAACTTACAAGAATTATCATAAGAAAAGTCCATACATTAACTGAAGAAAACTTTATAAAAGTCATCCGTTTATATACTTCTATCTCATCTATATTAGCCGCCAAGTAGCTTATTTTTTTAAATACGTTTCGGTTTTAGTTTGAGATATAGTAGTAAATTTAATTAAACGGTGCTGTTATATTATAATCCTCCCGAATGGCAACTATTGTAACCGCCGTCATCATATGATAACGTGATATTTGTATGTTGTACCTACTTATATATTTAAGCGACAGTCAGTATTTGTCAGCAGGGTGACCATTAACTTGTTTGTCATTCCCATTATATAAAAACTTATATAGGACTGTGTAAAAAGTATAATTGATTATTCTGTAAAGTTACACATATATACAAGATGAAGAATATAGAGAGATTTAAAAAAATAAGTTTGTAATGAATATATAAATATATATATATTTGACACTAGACCATAATTTTTTAAAAAGATGGTTGCTAAGTACTTGTCAACGCCGAATAAAAATAATGTAGAAACTATTAACCAAGTCTTTATGCGCTTTCTTTATACCTAAGATCAGTTAATTGTCAGTATTTCAATTGTATTAAGTGCTTTAGTGTAGTATTATATTGATGTATATAAAATGTAATAAATTATTGTTCAGCACTACTTCTCTAAACTGCATGTTTACATAAATTGATAGTAAACTGTGATTGGTAATACATTTAAAATTATTTAACCTTATCACATATTTTATTACTATTTATTAGTCCTAATATAAGAAAAAAAATTGAGTACTCTACACTAGAGGGTATACTGTCATGAAGATATGCCTAGTTAAGTGTAATGTGTGTGTATGATAGAACATGTAGGTACATGTAGGTACATATGTGTATGCTTGGCTAACTCCGTCGATCCAACTCTGTGAAATGATTTGGATAGCTATTTGCTCTGTCAGCCATAATGCATTCTGCCTTTGAACCAACAATAATGTTATTTGAGCATAGCATACACCAAGAGTTTCAATCCATCTTCAATGGACAAACTTCTCACTACCCAATTTAAAGTCTTGTGGCTTACATGAATGCAGTAGAACAACATTCATAAAATGTAATGCAATATTGCAAGTGCAAACTTCACTGTTATTTTCAGCTTTTACGTTAAAAATCTAACATGAAATTTGCGGGTAGTAATGGATGACAACATAAAAAGTTTACCGTAAGTAAGTTAAGTTGTAAGACGCTGGTTGGACGATATTTGTTAAATTTAGATTTAGGCCGACTATCATTCAGTGAAATCCATATATAAAATACGTATAATGTAATGAGAAATTGAGAAATTAATTCTTGATTTAATTATTTTAGAAATATGAAAGCGTAGCGGTTTTTGTATTGATTGCCACATGCATTCTTATGTAAATGTGAATACTATAACTATCAAATGGCAATTGTAAGTAGCTTTGACGTGGTCTAGTGTTTTGAGTAGTCATGCTCACTAAAATGTCCAGACTTGTGGCGGCGTGGTGGGCCGGGTCATTGGGCTCCCTAAAATATGGTCGAGCGCAGTGATGGCTGGCGTATCCGTCATACTCGTGAAAGGGTGCTGCTTGTAGGGACTGGTCTGCTCTAATCACTATGACTGATTTCCTCTTATCAATTGTTTAACCAGTTGGTTATATATTCAATATTTTTTCTATTTGAGTATTTAATTGAATTACTGCTAATTGGTGGTTTGTATTCACACACTTAAACTTAAAAATGTAAAGTAATAATAAAATTATTTAAAAGAGCAACACGCTAGTTTCTTCCTCGTTCCTCTTGTGATGAGACAGCTTTTCGAATGAGCGTTAGATTAAAAAAATATAATGACTATTCAAAAGTGTTTCAATGTAAGTTTACTTGAATAAATGCTTTTCTATTCCATTCTATTCTTTCAGAAACTGTCTAATGTATATTTTTTACCGATTTACGACTAAACATTGGAGTGGGTATTATTTAATATAGATAATATAGATTAAATTATGGGTATTAAGGCTACGTTTTAGTGATAAAAAAGCTTATGAAGGCACTGGTCAGATAATGTATATACCATTTCGTGCAACCTCATCTACAAGCTGATTTTTTCGTCAAACATTAGTTAGAATTCATTGAAAATTGAGCCCACAAGAGAAATACCATAAAAATGTTGGTTCCAAAGTCTATCTTTTATGGTGTCACTATTAACATTACATATCTTATCTATACTATTTTATACACAGACAACTATTTATATTACATATTTTCAACTACAACAGCGGGTGTGCCTAATAGATAAAACTACAGAGATAGATACACTATGTATTTTAAAAAGAAGACTCTCTAATAATAATTACCCTAAACAATCCATACAGTGCCAACTAGTCTCAAGCTAATCAGAGCTGGGATATGGGTACTAGACAACTGACATAAATACTTTTTTTTTGTAAATACATACATACTATACATAGCAAATACCCAGACTAATACAAACAATTATACTTACAAATAAAATTATGTACTGTGCGAGGAACTGAACCAGCTACCATAGAAAGCAAAGCGGTGTACTAAACTGCTAGGTCACTAAGGTCATCAATGTAAAAGATGAAAAAAAACAATGTTAGTATTTTATTCGATAAAATGAATGTCCCAATATTTGTTTGTTCGTTGCGATTAAGAAGACTCAATTGAATGTCAAATTTTTTAAATTAGGCTATATGCCAATTAGTTCATCTCAGCACTAATATATGACTGGTGAAACAATTAAGCGTAATGAACGGGGTAATAAATTATGGCCTTGATGATATTAAAAAGACGACATTAATTTCTCTTTGTTGGTGGAACAATCGAATGGAAATAGAAATGTACTCTTTACTGGACTTGTTCTTTTTTGCAAAGGGAATGGCAAACTAGCAAACTAGTAACCTGATAGAAAGTGCTATCCATCGTTTATATGTACAGATACATGAATTGAACTACGAATATCCCGTTATCATGTGATGACCTTAGTGACCTCATGTTGTTGCCATTCCCGAGAACTAAGATGTAATGTTCCACTTCTTCTACAGGATATAGAAATTCAGGTAGTATCTAACAAAGTCAAAGTCTACCTGAATATGGTAGTCGACAATCCATGACAGTCGTTCATAGGCTTTTGAGTGGTAACATTTTTTCCTACAAAAGGCACAGACTCATTGGTCTTAAAAAATGTCAGTATTACCTATTCAAAAAGACAAAACTTTTATGTATGTACCATAACATGTATAAAAATATGCTATAATTAGTTGAATTATTTTTTTAATTAATTATTTTTGTTTCATTTCCTACTTCTTTTAAGCAATGTATCGAGAATTTTATCCGTAAGTTTACATGTTTATAAACATACACTAATTCGAAGCAAGTTTTTTTTGAGACATCTCTGATCGAATCTATGTACCAAATCCATTCCATTCAACCGTTGAATTGTGAAAGGGTGCCAAAAAACGAATTAACAAACATACAAACCTGTTTAAGAATTATAAGTTATCATTTTGTATTATTTACTGAAAGAAAATTATATAAAATATTACTTAATTAGTAATCAATTTCTATCATCGAAGAATTCTATTAGACTGTCAAAATAATATTTACCATTGCTAATAATACTAGCAATGGTAATAATATTTTTACATAATTACAATTCTAAAAAAAGATTAAATGTTGATTTAAAAAAAAACTTTATTTTCTTATTACAATTACAATAATCTTACTTATTATTACAAATGCAGAAAAAATATAAGTACCAGAAACATTTCCTATAGGAATGTAAATAAATGCAAAAAGAATATGTATCAGTATATAATAATTTGAATCTTTTGTATCCTTCTGACTGCTAAATTCGATCTTATTCGTTATAAGCACAGTGTCTAGAAAATAACCACTAGTCCACCACGCTAGTTTAATATCTAACATGTCAATTGACAGCAGATTTCCTAAAATATTATACACTTACTATATTATACATATTTAGTATGTGTATAATACCATTTTATACATACCTATAAGGCTTTTATTTAGTCACTTCGCACTGCTCTACGAAAATTACCGTAGTTTTAAGGTTAGTAGTGACTTATATTTTTAAACAGTGTAAACTTAGATATAAGTTTATACTTAATACTGAATACCTATGATTTATTAATGCATACCTTTATTAACTCGGACTAGATCAAAATTCTCATTTGCCAATTCACCAATATTCTACATTGATATAGTGTAAAAATACCAATATTAATTTAATTAAAAAAGTTAAAAAAAAATTACTAGTACCTAATAAACGGCATAATAGTATTTCATTAATTATAATTATAAAAACTTTCGGTAGAACAAATTTTGCATATCTAGTTAATCTTTTTCTTATACCACGATAGCATACAGCCCATCGAATGGTAAACAGTTACCATAGGCTATGGACGCCATAAACACCAGGTTGTTTATTCCACAACATTGCGGAATCTAACTAGTGAAGTTTCAGATGATGATGATACCATCTCTATATCGGGCTGCTTACAAAACAATTTTGACTAATTGTTTTATAAGATAAGTAATCGTAATAAATTTATAGAGCGATACCATCTCCATATCGGACTGCTTACAAAACAATTTTAACTAGGTGTTTTATAAGTAATCGTAATAAATTTATATCAATGTGAATTAATTCATTAAACAATGCAATATTTATTCCAAAGTCTGTGTACTTAGTTAGTTTTAAGAGTAGACCGGCGGTTCTTGAATAAATCTAGCTCGAGTAAGTGCCAAGGTAGGAGTTACAATTTGGACAATAATGGTTAGCATTCCGACACGTATTCGTACAATACGGAATACATACACATGGCCAGCATCTGAAATAAAGAATTTAAATTTAGAATCAACTTTGACGTCATTATTTATTACTATAACATATATGCAATGTGCGATATACTCAAAGCTTATGGGAATTATAAACTTATAAGCCTAACTAATGAAAATGTATGTATATTATGTTGATATCACGTTTTCAGTAAAAAATATATTTATCTTTTCAACTGTCTAGAAATGTAAACGCAGTTGAAATCGTGGGCACCACAGGTGTTGTATAACAAGTTCGAAAATTTGTTACATTATTTTTAATGCCAATAAAAAACAGGGCAGTGAGGATAAACTCTATTTATATTCTATTAATAATGACTTAAAAATCATCATTATAACTTAATGTTATTTTATATAATTTAATTCTAATTGTTTAATTAATATGATATTTAGCAAAACGTATCCGCATTTATCTTGGTAATGTATGGTAAAATAAAAAATGATACAGGAAAATTATTTTATTTTATTATAAAATTAAATTGACTTTCTACGTTAAAAGGTACAGTACTAAAGCGCGAAACCAACGTAAACAAACAAATTCACTTTCTCAATTAAAATATTAGGAAGAACGTTAGAATATCAGATACCATTATAATTAACTTAGGTTAATTCATAAGTCCCACGTCTTGAGTCATAAGCGCGGTTCATTCATATTACTAAATGAAGATCAAAGAACAACCGACCAAATTAAGAATTCAATTCATATTATCATAGACCTATTGTGAAGCTGTCCTTGCTTCAAGACCTTGACGTGAGGCGCGTCAATGTAACAAATATCAAAGAGATACTGATCTGTGACTCGTGTTAACATTTTTAGTACTCCAAACGATAAAGGTAAAACTGTACGCTTTAACTGGCACTCTAGCTTACCTGATTGTAATAATAACCGCCTATATACTACTATATGAATATCGATATCACATTCTCATATGATGCCTGTGATACCACTCATCTGTTTTTTTCTCATACTTCAACAGAAACATATTTTACAATACAAGCTGTTTGGCGGCTGATATATAAAGATTGGTACCTAGGCAGACAACTTTGTAAAATCAGCCTAGATTGCCGTAATACTTACAAGAATAGACACAGGACTAGTGCAATAATGTGTGTTTTCGTTGTTGCTTTGTGAGTGACCTTGGTTACTATCGTTGCACTACAGGACGGACAAACCAATTGAGCAGGTTGCGGCCCGACTGGTGCGATATTCATTTTAGAACTGAAACAAAATTAAATAACTAACCAATTATATACCAATAAATTCTTACTTCAGAACTACGATTTAGAAAATGATTTGTAATTCTTTATTTGTAAGAATTCTAATATTATAATAATAATACTACGTACAATTTACACAGCGCTATTTAGTCAGTAAAAATACCCAGAACAATATTTATAAACAAACATAGTCGAACCCTCGGCACCCATATATATATATATATAAATATCATTCACGATATGTGGTTTTAAGTGCAAAAAACGGAAACGGCTGAATAAATAAACTAAACTGATAGAAATGTATGTACATAGACTGCCTTATCAGAGATAAGATTACCAATGCTTCTGAGGCACCTATAGTTTTAATTATTCCTTAAAAAGCTCGATACATAGTACAGAAACGGTCTCATTGCATCTTCTAACGATGAAAAAAATACTTATATGGGATTTCTCGCTATTATTTTATCTTCTGTTTCGGTATGGTCAAATATCATGACTTCAGTTAATTTTTTTTCTTTGAAGAAGTTCCGCAGAAATTTGTTTTAAAATTTATAATTTCATAGAAAAATAACTATTTGCCTTCGTATATAGAGAAATTTACCTAAATACTTAATTTACGGCCTCGTTGGTATAACGGTTTAGGAAATCGTGCTACTTAAGACGGTCGCGGGTTTGGTTCCCTGCACTATACAAATATTTGTATTCATGAGTACTTTATATTCATCTAGATATTTTCTATGTAGATATTTACAAAAAAGTATTGAAATATTTATATCAGTTTTCGTACCTATCCATAACACAAAGTCTGCTTAGTCATAAAATTCTTCCAGTTTACAATTATGATAATGAATTTAATAACATGTGTGTGTACACATACCATAAATAAATCACATCACACGTTTGTCATAGTGTGATATGGTAGAAGGAGACTATAATTTTGTATTGTCACAACTCAAATCGTGAAATTAAAACAGGAAATTTTAACTATTATCAAAATATTTCCATAGTATATCATGCAAAACTTGTGACTTTACACTAGAGATGAAGGGAGTCTCACAAATAAGCCGGCTGTGACATGGACGGAGAATAGTAAAATCTTTAAATACTTTTAATAATAGTCGTATTCTCGGAAAAAACTCATATCATGTTGAGTATATATACAAATGAGTCAGTCAGTTCTAGAATTTTATACTAATGTAATAAATACATCTTAACTGTTATTACAATAGTAACATGACGCATTGCCGACTTAGGTTTTAAAGATATTATTAGATATATATTTACGAACTTGAAAATATATATTGTTTTCCTTGGTTGTAATTTAATTTAATATAGATTTACTTTCCTTGTTTACCACAACGTGTAATGAGGATAAAATTTATCAATGTAGTAATAGACATTACAGTAAAGACGGAATTTATTTTAGTCACATATTAGCTGGGCCTGGGACATTCAATGCTTTCGTCCGGTGAAACAATCAAAACTAGCTACAGCTAAAAGTTTTTTTAAACGGATGATAAGTGAAATGATAGATTGTTGTCCAGACATCATTAGAGGATGGTAGTGTGAGCATGAAGACACATCAGCACATTACCAGGAATGAAGAAGCATCCACGTGGTTTCACCAGGAGATTCCAAGGGCGACCAGGAGGAGGAACCTACTTCATAACTATTAACATTTAGAGTGCCTCGATATTTTCTTCGAACGAATGAAAAAGACTAAATAGTTCAACAGTTCAAGTCCCAAAAACGCTTAAATGTTTTGGTACAATACAAATTTACTTTTAATTTATAGATACCTATGTTTGTTTTGCTCAAAATTTTTTGTTGAAATGTTTAATACAAAAAAAACACCAGGAAATTACTGCAAATCTTCACTCAGTTGATCAATGCCATTTTTTATTTTGTGTTTTTTATGTCTATACGTAAGGTTTGTACGAGTCAGTTGTTGGATCCATTATGGTTATAGTGATTTGATATTATCATTTATAGGAATTTCCATTATCGGCTTAATTAATATGTTTTATCTTTATGTATATCCCTCGATTATTCATAAATGCTAAAACCTCTCGAGAGTATCATGGAATAGTTACTAACTCGATGTGTAACTATTGCGGACATCTAAAAACTACGCGTATCAATTTATATTCCCGACAGCATAGAAACATGATATCAAATTAATAAAATATGTATATTCTACTACTTCTACATAACTCGAATTAGTTCTTTTAGTTTAAAGCGTAAAATTCGAGATTCTTTAATTTCAGCAAAATAAGTAAAACAAATTATTATTATAGATATATGTAATATGGAACAAACATCACAGTTCAGTATCAATAGGGTCAACAGTCCATTTTCCTAACAATCTCCTTTCCTCTAGTAACGGATGTACTCTTGTATCATAATTACAGTGTTACTACAGACCATACGGAGGAATTGAATGTAGTTATCTACTGCACCTTAAGGCAATGAAAATGGGCACAGAGCACTAAGTTTAGACAAATATATATATTTATAAACAAACACTTAAAAAGTTGCCTAGATATCCAAATTACAAACTGTACCTACAAAATTAAAAACCTTATCTTTCAGGTACAGAGTTTATATTACAGGTCTTGCGTTACTAATTACTCGACATTATACTACTAATATTACTTATTGAAAAGTTCTAAATATTTAAGTATTTAAAATATTGGATTATTCCCAGAACGATATTCCACTAAACATGTGTCCTCTACCTGTTATATAGTAGGTATATAAAAAAAACAAAAACAAAAAGTAAGAATAATTAATAAAGAATAATAAAAATACATGACTTGCTGATTATTGATATACACATAAATAGTAATATTGAAATTTATGAAGAAGCTACATAGAAAACAAAAACAATAAAATATGGGTAAAATTTTATACAAAATGTAGTAGGTACTTCTTGTGTTTTATAATAAAAAATCTATTACTACACAGATCACAAACAAACACAATGATTAAGTAAAATATCGAATAAATACATAAATTTGAATAAATTGAAATAAAAATTTACCGGTTTTGTATATAGGTTCCACAAGGTAAAGAGAATTGAAACAAGCACTTGTAGTCTCGACGCGTTCAACTGTTACACTGTGGAATAATAACTGGGCAAGTGATTCATGGTCAGTAACGCAGTCAAATTATGACATGGTGTTTATAATAAATTATCAGTACTAGTAACACAGAATTTATATCTAAGATAATGAAGAAAAAATTTTTTTTAATTTCATTTTTATCGGAGAAATGTAAATTTTATCTATCATTAATTGTTAATAATAATTCTCTAAAGTTTGTAGCCAACAGGAAAAAAATAGCATACAAACATTACCTCCTCCCGAACACCTTCCCCATAACCTATGAGTTTCTCGAAGTGCAAACTTAGATATAAAACTAGGACGATGTGTCATGAGCTTCACATGACAACCCGATTTCCTTAAATATGTTTGAATAAACAAGGGAAAATAATAAAAAATAGGTGACTATTCATACTTATTATTAAATGAGCTGTCAATTTATTTGACATTTACAATTTTAAAAGTTCATTATACTTGGATTAACAAAGTCTTTTTTCCAAAGTTGAATTTCTACTGACTCTCTATAGAAAGTATATCTAAAATAGATTATAGAATGAATAGGTACTGTAGTAAATAATACCAGCTACTCGCCCTGGCTTCGCTCGAGTGTACATGTATTATTATATATATAAACCTTCCTCTAGAATCACTTTATCTATTAAAAAAATCACTTCAAAATCCGTAGCGTAGTTTTAAAGATTTAAGCATACGTAGGGACAGACAGCGACAGCGACTTTATTTTATATTATGTAATGATAATGATGATTGTAGGCTGTAATTATAGGTCTCCCAATATGTCGGATTTAAGTGTACTCATCGAAATGTAGTCATGTCAAATGCTGTGTTCACCACGATATAAACAATCGACAATGTTTCTCTAACTACTTCATTACAAAGTCCATCTAGTACATATTCCATAGGCGATTATTATATTTTTTTCCGGCTAAATTCTAGCTAAAAGTAGGTATTATTATTTGATAATAAACTGATTCTATCCTATTGTATGAACTGATGATTTCATCTAAGCACACTTTAACCATTAACATCCGTGTTCACAATAGATTTCTATGACCATGGAACCTGTCAGTTAATTCTTTTTATTTTCATTATGCCATCAGATTGAGCAAAAAATTTGGTTCATAACTTGTTATGAGTATTTCATCTCATATCTGTTGTTTTTATGCTATTAAGTTATTTTTAGGAATTACTAGTATAACTAAGATTTAGTTCTGATACTTTTCCTTTTACACCTTCACGCCTTAATGCAGTGAGTATTTATTTTTGTTGTATATTATATATATTCGATAAATATGCAAACACGAAAACATACCTTGATGTCTGTTATCCCAGATGTAATAGTCAGAGACTATTCAATAAGAGAATATTCAACGCAATACTTGACATGCCCACATTTCACTAAGTATATTTGAATACAGAAGATCCGCCACCTGTCAGTTTACTTTAGTTTGTTATCGGTGTTTCTATCGGTCTAAGAGTTAGTCAGAAATATAAACTGATAAACAAAGTGTTTTTTTATAAGTTTGTATAAGTACATAATGTGATATTTTACGATAAACTTTAAGATTTTTTTTAAATAAGTATCGTTGTCAAAATTGGCTTCGACAGTTTTTGTGTATACACAGACTAAAGGTTTATAAAATTGAAACAAAACATCCTGTCAATTGATTAAAATCTAATAGTAGATATCAGTATTAATGGTAGTTTCCTCCAGAGTCTGTTAATGCTGCCTTCAAAATGAAAGGTACACACTACGTTCATGTTTTCACCCTGTATATATAATGACATATACTTAGTACTTACGTAGTTCGTCGTTCGATTCCAAATTATTAACTATTTTTATCATACGGACACATGAACGCTTATCAGATTTTATGTTGACTTAATACAAGTTATTTCATTGATCTGTTGTTATGGTTGAAGGGAATCGAGGTCGACAGTGCCTCTACTAAACGACCATTGGATGAATAAATCATCTATTGTAATCTTATCTTACTGAATAATTGTTACAGGCAAGTATTACATGATTATGTACAAGAACATTAACATTTTAATTCATAAACACCTGATTTCAATAATTACAGGAAACAATTGTCTAATGCGTGACAAATTGAGATACATAATTTGTTAACCTTAGTCTGCAGGAATGGCAACATATAATAACATTAAATCTGTACATATACACATATTGATACTCTCGGTGGTCTAGCGGTTTACCAATCCGCTTTACTACCGATGCTTGCGGGTTCGAGTCCGCGCACGGTACGACCATTTTGAACAGATCTTAATGAAATTTTTCATTGTGAATATGGGCTTCATCTCAAAAAACCAAACGAGAAGCGGGAAACAACTGGTATTTAAGAAATTGAAACAACATTGACACTACACAATATTCATAAATATTTATTTATATTAAAAATTGAGGCATCATTATTAATACAATAATCACAAAACAAAGGCAGTCATATTATAGTCATAAAAATCATTAATTAGTTAAAATAGCACAATTTTATTGTACATATTTATGCATATAAATCTCACAATAAAATATAATTTTATTAGTAAAAACTTACCGCAGCATTTGTACTTACTTGTAAAATATACAAATGTATTACAAAAGCACTTAAATTTCAATCATAGGTATATAGTGTAGAAGTACCTAATACTGAACTAAATATTTAACCTTGCTGTGTTATCTTCAACAAGATTCATATCAGTATCATACTACACATAACCATGTTTCGACACTTTATGGAATTTCGTATTACTTATAGTTAACTTAGTAAATAAGCTTGTAAAAGTGAGCTTATACTTTATAAAAATATTCAGGTATAATAAATAATAATAATCAGCTATCAGTAGTTACATCATTATTGTTATATTGGGACTTAAATCAATAGTTAATACGTATAATAGATGTATTCTTCTTTAAATTGACTCAAAGCTGTCAGATCGAACTGACTGTTATATCACATTCTGAATCTTATCATTAAAACATCTTGTTAATAAATAAATATATATAAAATATTAACAAACAGTAGGTATACATTTTATAAAGCACCTTCAAGTAGTAATTATGTACAATACTTATTCTAAAATATATAAATATGTATTGCATATAATAGCTTAAAAATATCAGAAATCACTTCACATAGAAACGTTTATTTGTTATTCATTTTCAAAGCTAATCAAATGTAAAAATTATATCTAGCCTAAGGAATTATTCAAATGGAATTGCGACGACTAGAGACGGAAATCATACAGGTTTCGATAACAATCTGTTGCCACCATATGATTATACTTATCGTATCATTACTTCGTTTCTTGTATCACGTCTTGATTACAGTTTCACAATCAATTCATAGAATGTCTATACGTACATATTGTAAGAAAGTCTTGCAATTCTTCGAGACAGAATTAAATAGCCATACATTTATACCGACTGACTGTTTTCCATTGGGTGAAAGTTAGGGCATATATGTAATATATATAATTAAAAATGTATAGAAAATACAGTAAAAACTTCCCTTACCCTTGTCAAACAATATTATAGTATTTTTTAATTATATCTAATTTTAAACACTGTTTAGACAAGAAAATGCCCTGCCAAATAAATAAAGTAATTGTATTATGAATCAAATTGATTTCATGTACGTACCCACTTATTTTCTAGTTGTAAATAGCAATTTGTAATTTTTTTCAAATGTTTGTAATCACTGTTTTATTTTGTACGTCAACATAACGTATGTATTAATAACTATTTTTCATCGTGTTCATGCACAAAATCCTCATTTGAAGATCCAAATGGCGGACTAAACATTGCCATTTTTTCTCAGTAAACTATACTGCGAACAGAGATTTATGTACGCTAACCATCATTCACAGCGATTTATCATTATACATATATGTTTATAAGTAATTAATCGTTTATATAATAAATATTTAAATAAATAGGTAAATGATTTCGAGCCTTTGAAAAATTATGTGAATAAAAACTGGAAGAGAATGAGCTCAATTGGTACACAGTAATTGATTTACTACTATGTTTACTATAAGTTGTACTAATAAGTTTGAAAACACACTGAAAAGTAAATCTAATTTTGTCTAATGACGTCATATTCAAATAAGCGGCAAAATCTTACATCAACATGTGTTAATTACGATACGTACCCAGATAAGCGTCGCAATTTGTACAATAATGATCCAAATTCAAACATGTGTCAGCACAGTATGGCAAACATGCGCAGAACCATAACCTGAAATTACAATAAAATGGAATTAAATAGCAATAATGCACAAATACATAACAGCAGACTCCATGACTCACTATTATGAAACTTGACAATTGTTTTTAAACATTTGTAGTAAAGTTACATGCAGTTACCGACAAATTACTTAACAGGAAAAAATAATTACTCGACTCGGCTAGTGTTTTTACTGTAATGTTTTAAATAAAATACAATGCACGCTATTAGCTAATAATGTTTATTGGTAAAAGGTTTCTGTACTAGTTTCAGTTTTTTATTCTACACTAGCTAACCGCCCTGGCTTCGCACGCTACATGTATTGTACATATAAACCCTCCTCTTTAATAGATCTACCTATTAAAAGATCAAAGCGAACAGACAGAGGAAGCTACTTCGTTGTACACTATGTAAAGATGCAAAAAACTAAGCATTTCCACATCATAATACAACTCCAACTAGGTAATGTTACAAGTAAAGTATTGAGAATATGTACACGATCTTCGAAATTGCCTCATCATCGCAGCCTGTATCTATCCTCAGTGCCTGGTACGATATAAGTTCCTTCGCTTTACGCTCCTGGAATAGTTGGGTAGGACCAGCTATGAGGAAGGCTTATAATACTTTTACATCTATACTTCTTCTGTATACGCATTACATTAGTCAGGTTCTCCAAACTTACGACTACGAAACTACGACACTTACCTATTCGAGACCCATTAAGCCAAAGCGCTCCATAAAATTGATAATAACCCAGGGCGGGCATACAGAGCCTATTTAGTTCCAAGCTATTCTGAGCTTGTGCTAAGTGTACTAAAATACTAATATCAATATTTAAATGTACTGTATAATGTATGTATTTTGTAAATATATACATTATACATATAAAAAAACGTAGACTAATACAAACAATCATACTCATTAAGACAAATGTTCGTTTCGTGTGGGGAATCAAACCCGCGAATATTGGAAGTAAAGCGTTGTGCTGACCAAATAACCTGCCGATGCCGCCTATATAAAATTGTACATTACTACACCTATACAACTGTAGAGAATAGTCGTCGTATGTCTAGTTCCTGCGTATCAAAGAAATAATAAGGAAGGAACATACTACCCAATTTATGATGAGACATGCAACACTTATTAGTATGATTGAACATAAACAATTTAAACCATAAAACAAGCACAAAAGGTTTAGTTTGGCTTAGCTTTTTTGATCTCATTATATCTCCTAATGTATGAAATTCTCGGGTCACAGGTAACGTGTTCATACTTCATTAGGTCAGTAGGTCTAAGAATAGATTTATAATTATGTGGTTTTTATATTATGTGTCATTTAAAATACATACATCCTTAAATTATCACCCTTCTACTACCAACCCCTATTTTTTAATAGTAATACTTATTTATATGGCAAAACGTTTGCCGGGACATCTAGTATTATATTATATATACTTACCCGAACACACATAGCAGTATGGCCATTAGATGTGTTCGTATCGTGGGATTTCTTCTAACTCTTGTCGTTGTTTCCTGATGGCATGATCTACATATCAGTGTAGAGGGTGTCGGACCCAACGGTTGATCGACAATGACCGTCGAAGCTAATGCAATTGGAGTCACCACCCTCTCTGGAGTTACCTGGTATAGTACTATACCACCTGGGGACGCTGGACGGGACGGGAGTAGACCAGGGTATGGAGGTGGATCAGCTTCATTTAAAGTTGGGTAAACAGGCTGGCTCTCAGGTACATGTTCTTCTTTATCTGAAAAATCATAACATTGTCAGTAATAATTTTAGGATACTCCAAGGGACTCCTCAATAGTACATATATTTTGTATTATACATATATGTACGTAATACTATGTAATACTATGTTATTCTATGGTAAAAAAAATCTTGTCCTTATTTAATAGTATTTAATACTTAAATATTGTAAAACGGAATACTATTTTATGTAATATTATAATATATAAGTTATCTGTGGTAAGAGAGAACTACAAACCCCGACAGGAGTTTTGCAGGATAGTAGAATAATAATATGTAAAATTTGAAAAATAAAGCTTTTTATCTATCTCTCTATCTATCTGTGGTAATAGTTTATGGAGGCATGTTTATTCTCAATGTAATGTCAAGGAACAATGCATAATTACAAAAAAATTATAAAAAATAAAGTTTGTTGATGAAATCCTAACTGATATAATAAATGAGACAGTAATTCTGTTTGTCTGTCTGTCTGTCGCGCTTTCATACCAAAACGATATTTTTTATTGTGCTACACATAGGTGCCAAATTTCGTAAAAATGTAGTCTAGCCTGTGAAAAATAATTTTTTAAATAAGCATAAGCATAATTTTAAAAAATGTTGTTGATTAAATACAAAAAAAAATACATTAAAATTGTGTAAGAAAAAAAATACCCATAATATAGGGATGAATGTTTGTATGGAAATTCTTAATTTTTCAAGCTAGAACGATGAAACTTTTTTCATTGGATTTTCTTATTTGTACAATAATTAGCGTAAGTAATGAAATGCAAACCAAGGTCATTTTCACGCGAATGAAGTCGTGGTAACAGCTAGTTATTTATACTTTCTTATTCGAAATAAATATACGATACGCACACTATACTTGTGACCAATAAATAATATACTTAATTATTTCCTGTAAATAATTAGGTATATAGATGAGGAAATAACACCTTCTATGATAATTTCTCCTGGCAAGACATTTAAACAATTGTCACGTCATAGTATATCTATATATACATACATACTCATATTATAATTACTAACTCAAAATACCTGAACATTAAAACACTTTTAATAATACCACAGATAATACTGTAATACTGATCGACTTGGTTTTAGTCCCAATTTTCGTTCTCTAGCACTAATGTATTTGTTCCCATTTCCGTCTCTTTCTATCTACTTACGTCATAAGGATGAAAAGAATAGCAACATATCGTTTTCCTTTTCTATTACCTTAAAAATATTGAATTGGTGTATACAGACGATTCCCAGAAATTACTGTGAAATACTTTACACATAATAATAAATTTATATCTATAGTACATGTATGTATAGACAGTTTCAAATATAATCATCTCAATTTTCGCCGCGTTTTTTGCAGCTCCTGGAGATCGATTCGTGAATAATTAAAAACCTTGAACAAATGTTGAGAACAGGAAAACTGTTCTTTAATTTAGGTACCTATATCTGTAATTTTTTGTTTTGTAATATAAATATAGATTTAAATTACAGTATTTGCAGCTGTATTCTAAAAAAAATTTGTATTCTAAAGAAAACATACACTAATTATCAATCAAGAATAGCAATAATAGCAGTAATAGCTACAAACATGTCATAATTTTTACAAATTTTAACATTTATCAATGGTCAAGATAATATATAGGACAGAGATAATTATTACCTTATACATATCTATAGTATAATACACAACTGAAGATTCACAATCTTATTTAGAAGTCATCTCTTTAAATACAAGTATACGAAACTCAGACCAAAATATTACTTACTCTCTTCCGGCTTCATTTTGCAATATACTGAAGGCGCCAAAACTAAATGAGATATCACAGAAAATTCCCGTGGAGTTGTGACCTGAATGAACGAAAAGAAACGACTAACGTATAGTATAGTTTATGGCCCAGTTCCAAGTCAGGCAGACATGCCACCCCTGACAAGGTCGTTGGGAAAAAATCAATTTCAGCAACAGTACTACATGGATCTATCCAAACTTAAGGGAAATGCTCCACCATAGAGCTTCCTAGCGTACGTATTATCTTAGGTAGGCACAATTCTATAACATTATACTAACAAAATTTTACTGAATTAATTTTATTATCCCTTACAGTTATTTCGTATTCACATTATATCAATGTCTTTTTTTCGTTAGCCGATGCTTGTACAGAATTATTTTGTTAACTATGTTGTTCGCTCTCTCGTTTGGTAAATGCTAGATTATATAAAACAGAATATCAATACAAGTTTCGGTTCTTAGAACAGATTGGACATTGAAATTACAGAAGATACATGACCTATTAGTCTTATAGAATGACAACCTCGTTCTCTGGAATGACACCTTAGTTCTCAGGAATAATTGATGAGTGGTATCTTGACTGTCACATGATAACCTGACGTCCACAGTGGTATTCTGTGTATACGGTGACGGTTACCGCTTGCCGTCAGATGAGCCGTCAGCTTGTTAGGCTATAAGTGTCACGAGGGTGAAACCGCAGGTACAGCTAGTTTATTATGAATATACTGAAAATTTGCTTAATTTATTTACTCTAAATTAACATATTACATCAATATATCTAAATTCTTTAATACACAACCTTTCTACCACACTCACTTCTTCTCATGGGTTTCACATAGTTATAAAAACTGTTATACAGTCTACATTAAAAATAATGAATTATACAACTATAGCACATATAAACATACATATATTTCATATTTAAAGATATATAATATTGTACTGTATAGTCCCGGAAAGAGCTTAGATATCTGTAGTACAGGTTTCGACCTAATTCAGATTCCAGTTTCTCACAAGGATTAACTGTTGTTTACTTATAAATGTAATTTATTTTAAGGCTTCTTGTAAGTCGTAAATAAAGATTATTATTATTATTCAAACAGTCAATGGCCATAGGCTATTTTAGTTCGTTATATCGTCACATAATATGAAATCGGATTGGAGAAGAGTGGCGGAATAATTGAGATTATATACACCAATTACAGCAATAAATTCTTTTAGATAATATATAAATAATACTATCATATAAATTTTAAGCAAAAAGAAAATTTTGTACATTTTAGTGTTTTTATACATATAAAATGTACAAAATTCTCTTTCATTCTACTACCACCGTCAGGGCAAGGTAGGACAATTCCATAATATATTTAAAATCCTATATAATTTGAAAATTCCTCTGCCATTTTGCCATTGCTGTTCAGACTTACTCTTACTGTTCGGAAATAATTCTAAGCCTTAACTATATCAATCAGAACATATACATTTATTCGGACAGTCAAGCTACTCTTGTAGTACTTCACTCGTACGAAAAAGGGCGAGCACAATAAATCTATAGAGGTCGCAGAGCTACAGGTTTTAGAACCTGCCAATAAATATGTCAAAAAAATGCTATTCAGACTACAATCGACGTAGATCACAGATTTTTAAACAAAATCTTGGCATTATGGACGAGATATAAATAAATAAATATTCAGAAATCTGGACAGAATAAAAAAACCGTAAGGAGGGAAATGTATATGTTAAAATTAAATATATTACGAACCCGTGTTTTCTATTATAGGTATCAGGTTCAAGGTATCATGTGTCAGTATCACAAGCTAATGTAATTTGCCCTCTAATTAATAAACAGGTTTTTATACCACAAGGATATCCAACAACCTAGCTGGAAATCAGCATTTGCTCCCTGGACAAATTTCCACTGAGCTACGGCCTTTTTGCCCTGCTACAACACATAATCTATCTACGAGTATATACTGGTTGATATATATTTATCAACCAGGTACATGCGCGTAGCAGACTCTTTTTGAAAAACCCATACAGTAGTAGTATATCCTCAAAGGAAAACCACAATTTGAGTCCTCCTATACATAATGCAATATTACTAAAATGTGCTAAAAACATATGAGTATAAAGTAAATTATACGTCTGGCTTTTCCTGTTCCAATTTTCTTATTATTTCATAATAAATTATTCTATATTACTACGAGTTATATGTGACTCTGTTTGCCTTCTTCTACAATAAGAGATAGCTTATATCCTTCCTCATGGGATATATATCTTTATGTTTTTCATTCAGATCCAATTGGCTTCTTAGTGATAGTGAATAGTTAATAAACAGATAGACAAATATACTTTCGTTTTTATAATTTTAGGATTAGTATGGATGACAAATATGAATTACCATAATTGTCAGGACATAATTAAAAGAACATTGTCAATTATTGGCCATAATTTATTTCTTTATAATGACTATAGCACCGCAGATAACATCATATTATGTCAGAAATGTAACTCAGTCTGATTAAATTAAAATAATAACGGTAAGAACATTATTATTTTAACTGTAAATAAGTAGGTACTTAGTAAACTATTGTGTTCTGAATCATGAGTAGTATTAATATGCACTTGTACATTACCAACTGCACATATGTATATATTTTTAAATATAAGTGTATTTTTTACAAATGTAAGAATATTATGTGTTCCAAATTTTTGTGATAATAATAATAAATAATAAACTTGTATCAGATTTATATTTCATTATATATTTAATTTATGTAGTACAATTAAAAGTATTTAAAACAGAAAATTAGGTAATCGTTTTTGTATTTCGCTCCGTTAGTTATTTTTTTTTTACTGGTTCACTTAAGTTATCAGGTATTTAATTATTAATGTTCATATTTATAGTTTATATACTTATATAGCCAACAATATTTATATATCGTAACAAATGAAATGCCACAGTAAATAAAAAACAAAAACAATACTTAAAAGGTCTCTCATAATGTCAATGTTACTGTGACAAAGTACTAACTTATTTACGTAATTATTATTGGAAAATACTTAAACATACATTAAATTAATAATATACTACTTTTCCTTGTTATACTTAGGCAAAGAGTAACAAATATCGTAATTATTTAATTAATTATTCGATTCCTTGAAACATTATACTTATTTTTCCTCTTAAATTACTAGGAAAAAACAATATAATGTTCGTAAATTTTTTACCATATGCATATTACAGTATTACAAAAAGTAAAGTTACCACATTATAATTATCACGAGCTTAAAAAATGCTAATACGAACGAGAAAAAAAGACTAGTGAAATATCTATACAATAATTTCTAAAAATGCACATGAATACAACTAAATATTTATTTCTTTGTTATAAAAAGAGACAGCCTTATTAATCCTAATATATATTTAAAAAAGCCCTTTAATTATTATATTTAATAATATTAGCTCCTTTACACTTTAAAACATCAAATGTAAGTAAGTAAATTGCCGATACTATATTTTTTATAGATATTATTACTTTTTATAATTTGACATATTTCATAAACAAAAAATTATATAAAGAACTAAAATAAAAAAAAAATATAAAGTTTAATTCTCAACAGTAATATAGTACCTATATGTAATGAACCTATTTTCTTTATTGATCTATTTCGTCTCCTTTTTTCAAGAAAATTTTGTGATTTGAAGATAAATAACAGAAATTCACAACTTTGATATGTCTATTCGTAAGATGCTTTGGTTTTTTTGCATTTGGTAAGTATAAGCTAAAACTAATCTTTACTTATTACCAATTAAAATACTGTTCAGACTTGTACAAGGATATTTTTTTAATTCCAATGAATATAATGTATTTGATATAAATATAAGCGATATCAATCATATTGATAGTTTATTAGAAATGTTCTGGTAATCATTAATACCGTTAAATGTAATTTTTGTCCCGTTATTTCATTTAAAAACTAAATTCTGATAAAAAAGAAATATGGGACAAATATATAACTCCAACTAAAACATGATTTTTACAGAAGATGTAGTTCATAGATGACGAATATAAAAAAATACAATCAAACATTTTTACCGTTCTTCTGTTATTGAAGTCAGTTAAAACATTTCAATTGTGTTGATCCACCAATGTTTCTACAAAGAAATATAATTATGATTCAATATTGAAGTACTATTATTATACATTATTAGTATTAAATTCTTTCCTTGCCATTTATATTTCTAATTGACCTCAATTATTTTTATCATAATTATATGTATTTCCATACCTAGTAGGACAAATATGTTGTTTTATGTATTTTATTATAGGAACTAATTTGTACCCATGTTTTTATAAAGTATTCAATTGGATTGGATTGAAGTAAGATACCTATAATATATGATAAAACTGATAATTATAAACAGTAAGAATGATCTTAATTCTGATATGTGCCGACATAAGACCCGCAATTTGAACAATAATGGTCCACATTCATACAGGAATCCATACAGTAAGGTATGCAAACGCAGGGCCACAATCTGAAAACAGAAATAGTATTTTTACACTAAAATACAATATTAAACACCATAGGGATCAATAGAAGAAAATGACATACTGCGCTGACCCTAAATAATGTCCAGGCAATGATGATGATTATTACTCATCAATTAATAAAAACACAAAAATAAATTTCTCACATCTAGTATGCCTATATAAATATGTTGAATATGAAAATAAGTTATTTAACTAATTTATTACAAAAATGTTAAGTATGGTTTGATTTGTATGCATTCCACTTTTCAACAAAACAATACATCAAAAGGACAATGGTAGTTTGTTCTTTGTTCTATTAAGTTAAAATATGTCCAACATTTATTTGAATGTATTAATTGTTATCTTATTATCCATAATCACGACAGTTCACAATAGGTCAGAATGCTCTGTTTGGAATTGTAATTGTGAGGAAAAAAGCATACAATTATCCATAATTTACTAATTAACATAAATTGAATGATAAGCCATTATCAATATGATGACAATAGTAATAATATGAGTCATAACGCAAATTAGTTCTACGTAACATTTCTTATTATTGTAAACAATAAAAAAATTGCTAAGAGAATGTAAGGACGTCGTTTTGAACCCTAACACAAAAACAAGGGTTGATAAGTTTTATGAGTGTGTATTTTTCTATATTTGTTGTGTTAGCTCTTAAACGAAATGACCTATTATGAAAACTTTTTTTGTTTCTAATATGACGTGAGCGAGATTGTTCTTAGCAACAATTTGTGAGATTTTTTTTTTACATGTTTGTTACTTATTTTTAATTGCATACTTATAATTAGCATATTATGTAGGTTAAATTATTAATGGATATCTCTATCTAAGTACAATGATCTCTCCAAGTCATTATTTTTTTGATCTTTTCGGTTTTTTATTGAAAAAAGGTAAATGTTTGTTTAAGAACTTGTGTGTGATAAGAGTCTGCACGAAATATAAATGTATACACAAACTATTCTATTTCAACTGTCAAATTCGAACTCACTACATTACGGAGTGCCCTCTAGGGCGGGTGATATAATAGCCAACCACGGTCTTAATTTTAAATAATATAAAATTATTTTGAAATTTTCTTACCCAAATACACACAAAAGTAATGCCATCATATGTGTTCGCATGGACGATTTCTGTTCAATCCTTGTTGTAGTTTGTTCATTACACGATCTGCAGGTGACTCTTGTGGGCTGAGGACCAATATGCTGTCCAACGACAACGCCCGGAACTAGTCCGGGAGTAACTGTGACTACCGCTTGAGGTACCTGGTGGTAGACCGTCGGACCAGGTGGCATTGGAGCGGTACCTTGGGGGGCAGGGTATGGAGCTCCATAACCTACCTCGGGTCCAGGGTACGGCGGTGGGTTTATAGGGGGATATAACGACTGAGGATTATTCACAAATCCAACTTTACCTGAAATTATGATAAGGATAAAATTAATAATTGCCTTAAATTACCTAAAACTATTTAAGAAAAATTCCCACTGGTAGATATTTATAACGCCTATGATTTGTCTTTGGAGTTGTGAAATAATGAATAAATCATGATGTAAAAGAAATAAACTACGTGTGATATACGTACGTACATGATGAATATGTTTATACTATTTTTATTTTAAGACAAGGTACCGGGTTCTGTTAATCAGCGCCATTATGTATCGAACTTTCTTGTCAGATGCCATATTAAAGAATCTCAAAATTGGATAGGTTTAGTGTTAAGTGCAGATGGAGACAACTTCGGGGGGAATAAATAACACAATAATGCAGGTAGGTAAAACAACTAGTAAACAATGCAGAAAAATAAAAAAACTCCAGAATCTATGCTCTAAAAGAAATTACAAGTTTCTTTCAGGAACTGAAAAGGAGTCATCAGTTTCACGAATCTGTTTTTGTTTAGACAGGTTTTAAAATAATATAGGAATTTCCAAAACACTGCGCATACACATCTGTGTTGGAGTGATTTTTCTTCAAAACCGGATTTTTGGGGGGAAAGCCAAACAGTTATAAACAACACAGCGTAAGGGGAATAAAGCGCATAAGTGAATCAGGAAAATAAATTTGTACAATCACCTTACAATGTTTGATCAATTATTATGAAATATTCAATATTTCATAACATTAAACGATCTGTATTCACAACAAATGCTACGGCATGGTGACATCATGTGTATATTGGGTAGTAGATTTTTTTTTTAATAATAGGGACTAGTGGTTCTATTGTATATTATATATTTATTATTACTATATACGATACCACGTGGAAACGCCCATAGCCTAATTGCTGAACAAAAGTTCAATACAACTAAATAATCTGCACACTAGGTATATACCTACAGTATGAAAAAGTAATTTCATGAAATTTTTCTAAAGTAGGTATATGTATATATATTAAACATACAGACGAAATATGATTTACATAATACAAACAATGTTTGATGTTATAATAAGTTGTTCCTATTTTAAAACTTAATTATGTTAAACAATATTTACCCATTTATACAAAACAAAAACATTATATAGTTTGTAATTCATATTATATCCAAAATTACTTTACCTTACCTTTCCACGAAAATAAGTAGGTAGCTACAGAATTATAATTGACTCGGAACTAAAACATTACTTACTGGCTTACTCATCTCCACTTACTACTTACTTGACATCATTAGGTGTCGACTCATTTATATCTTTTTAAATTATGGCCTATGTATTATTCAGATGTATAAGGTATTACTGTAAAGAGTCATCAAAATTCGTTTAGTAGTTTTTGCGTAAAAGAGTAACAAACATCCATCCATCCTAACAAAACATTCGCATTTATAATATTAATAACAACATAATGTTCTATTTTTAAATATTTTATTTATATAATATATTTATATTATTTATTTATATATTAAACACATAATCAAATTTGAAAATTTAATTAGTAGGTATGAATGCAGTATTATTGTACTATACATAGATTCGTTATGAAGTACGAATTATTTTAAATATTATAAAATTCTATAAATTCTACCATATAAATAAACATATCTATACTATTAGCACAATTTTAATCACTCAAATCAAATAACTTACCACTTGTATCCATTCTGAGAACTATTTACTACCACAGAATAAACAAATGCTGTAAGAGGCAAATCTAACTCGCACGATAGACTTTTACAGACTGACAGGTACAGTACTGAACACCATGCGTCATCAGACGATCGTCTACGCAATTTGTTGATAACAGTAGTTTTTTTTCTAATTTACGCTTATGAAACGCTTACCGACACAGATGTTTGGTCTAAATTTCAATGTGTATAGATTATAATATTAAAGTCATCGCGTCTTATGAACACTTAAACAGCATTAAGTAATTTAACGTTCTCGGTGTTATTATGGCGAAACAAGTAAAATCGTCATTATAGGAGTCACCAATGTACCCCCTTCATAGTAGTTACTGTATTTTACATGTGCAAATGTAATAGAAAAGAAACAGCAAAATTTTAACAATTTTAATGATACTAAATGTAATAAATATTTAAAATAAAAATGGGTTTACAGTCTGCAAATACAGTTTATTTTTTTTTTAATAAAAAACAGAATTGGCAACCTATTGTCATTTTCCTTCAGGTGGACTGTTAGGGCCAAAGCAACTACCAAATATCTATATTATATCTATATATACCTAATATGTAATCGAAACATTAACAGCACTACGAACATCACCCATGGACTAAGATGGTATAAAACCTACATTATTAAAATTATAATAGAAAAGAAAAGATCCTATGATTTTATACGAAAATATCACAAATATGAAACTCATAGGACGCTTCAGAATCTCCATGTACAGTTTGATAAGCAACACAACTGGCTCTGATAAGAATATGGATATGAGATATCACTGATAAAAACAGATATACATATTATATGTCAACTATTTAAGAGCTCGTTGTTACGATAAAATAATTTATATCACATCTCTGCAATATCATATGATTATGTTATGATATATGATTATTATTATGTTCTAAAGTGACATGATGTTCATTTGTCTCAAATGCCACCTGTTTAAGTTGTATATGATAATTCTATTTCCATTTAGTAATAAAAAAGAAGTATGTTATTTTTTCTTTAATCAAATATGGTGGAAAAAAACACGATTAGTTTACTGACAAACAAAATATTCTCATCAACCTCGGACTTATTCATTGACGGTCCTTTTAAACTTTTTTTTTTATAATTTAAAAATCATTTATAAAGATCTGGTGCATGCTACACTGACGGTATACTTGTACACTTGGGTAGCACTAGTGGATGATGATGGTCAGGTCAGTGAGTCCACTGTGGTGAATTTACAAGAACTTCATCACGATGGTTTCCAGAAGGACTCGCGTGGACATTAACCTAACAAACCCATTGCTAGCCCACCAAACCTTCAGTGCTGAATTTATCTTATTTACAATACTGTCAATAACTACATAGACAAATTTAAAGTTAAAAACTATCAAGAATCCATCTTTTAATATAGGTTCTCTTCTTCAATAGAATACGATTTCTGCAGCCGGGAGTTCTAAAACCAAGAATGTCTCTTTGTATTTTATTTGGAAACCGTAGCACGTAAGATGTCAAATTTGTTGTCCTCGCTAGTTCCAGTCTAGACTTCGTGATTGGTAACTTAATTATCTTCAAACCACCGTTTTGATGCTCTCTCTTTTTGTATGTTAAGTTCTCCTTTCGTATATAAGCGAGACAAATATAACACTATTTTACTGGAATAACAAACAAACTGATAGGAATTGAAATAAAATCGAAACATGAAAACATCAACAAGTGATGTAGTGTTTAGTGCTGCTCTCTCTTTGTACATATAAGGTTCTCTTGTCGAATTAATATTTGTATACTCGTCATATACAACAAAATCATAGGTTTCTAAAACATGTACAGTTATTTTTGTCCCCTAATTGGAAGTAAACAACCTGATAGCTTTCTTGAAGGATGGTAACTATCTAAACATCAACGAGCGAATAGCAAACGTTATGTCGTCGTATAAAGAATCTCATTTGCTGATGGCTCACCTGATGAAAAGTGACAAGCCACTGTAAGCCACTTAAGTAAAAGTTAAAAAGAGTACTTAGTTAGGAAACTAAAGATGACAATACTCAATACTTAATTTATCTTTCAATTCTTGTCCCTTACGGTTCTAGGAATGAAAGTCTGAAAAAACGGGCGACCACAATAGATCTCTGTAGGTCGCTATGTTACAGGTCCAAAACACTTTGTAATAGGCCCAACCCCTTTAAAAAAGGTGATATCATTAAGGTAAGGTCTCTTCATGTTTCTAGTTTGTCACTTTCCAGCAGGTGGTCTGTTACACAAAATAAACTCATTCTTAACCTGAGTATATATTTTCTTATAATATAAGTCCTTTACAACACTTATGTTAAGTACTTGTTTACCTGTAAATGGAATGTACAATACGTCAACTTTCCAAAGTACAGTTTTGTTCACAGACATGAGTAATCTAAATAAAGATAATATACCGGATGACTTTGTTTATCATGCGGAAAAATATGACATAATATAATAGATACATAAACGTGTTTCCATTAATACTAAAGTCTTTTAAAAAATTGACAGTTTATTTACTGCCTCGACAGATTAGTGGTTTAGCACACTAACTTCCTTCCTACGGTCTCGTATGTAAGTGTTTGTATCGGTCTGGGTGTTTTCTCTGTATATTTTTAATGGATTATAATAGAATATTGTTGTGAGCACAAGGTCAGATCAGTTTGCACATCGTGATGAATTCACCATGAATTTATCATAATGGTTTCTAGCAGGAAGCACATGGAAGTCAACCAAACAAGGTACATTGCTAGCAAGAAGATCAACAGTTCACATTATTAACAATTCCATTCTTCCCATCTATGTATATTAGGTGTGTATTTACATTTTTCTTGTACCCATAACACAACCTTGTCTAAGCTTGGTACTAGATGTCGCTGTGTGAGATACTGTTATTTTTTTACCTATATTTTAATGTTTAAAAAATTGCAACTTTAGACTGTAATATTTTTTGACAATAAATCAGAAATATGATATATACGTATGTATAAACATACAAACGTCCATACTCACGAACTTTTTAGTATATAATTAAAATTTCTTATATGATTAAATTTCAGATTTATAATTCTTGGACTACATTGATTATACTAATAGCATAATATAATATAATTTTCTCCGAACAACAAAGAATGAAAATTTGGTCCGGTATAATAAAAAAAATCAAGTTTGGAAATATGGACAAACGCTCAAGTCACAAACAAGTGCTACAGCAATTATGAAATAATCACCAAAAAAATCACGACCATCGCAATGCTGTTATTAAGTTCAAGGTTTTGCCTCACATGTTTTTTTTTGTTTTTTTATATACATACTAATATTATACACGCGAACACTTTCGCGTGTATAATAGCAGTATGTCTGTACGTTATCTGTTGTTACAACTAATCGACTAATTAATTTGATATCTTGGTAGATTATGAGGAAGCCATAGATATCTTTTATCTTAAAAAATACTCTGTAAGAAGTTAAATAGGGATTGAAAATGTATGCGGATAAAGTCAGTAACAGTCAATATTTCATATATTAGTATCCCATTTCAATTTTTTCTTCTCGAAGTCTATTACAATCTTATTTTTTAGGCTATTGATTAAAATATAAATAATGAAAAAGTATTGTAAAGAATTAAAAGGACGATGAAAGGTAATATAGCACAATTCTTAATTTCATAATGATCGTATAAATCAATACATACATATCTTTGCCTTTTTTAGCTTTGTCCGCGAATATATAGTTATAACATATAGTCATTCTTCTAAACATTTTAATGTTTTTTTTTAATTGTAGAAAAAATAATCTTTATTCTTACGGATTGGATTCCAATTATTGATTCTAAAATTGAAAGTATATTTCAAGAAGTAATTAAAAATCCCATTATCTTATCTATATAAGTCCAACTGTAGACTATAGCGGGAATCGAAATACAATGACTTGAGTCAATTTTTAAAACCCCAGTGGTCACCCAAGTCACACTAAAGTCATACCCATCTGTCACGAGTTAGCCTTTAGCCGCTCCATAAATCCTTCCACAGGTTTAAAGTGCTATCTGCACTCGCTACCTATCGTTCAGTGAAGCTATAAAGACCAGTTTCGGTAAACAGGGAATAATTCGAAAAAAAAATTCTTAGAATATTATATTGGTCAACATGGAACTCCTTTTTGTGAAAACTTGCCAATTATTTGAAGTGACCAAACCAGGTAAATTATGTATTTATAGAGATTTTTATCTACGTTACTTATCACTGTTAGAGAATAACTGGTTATACACGTTGTCAGATAATACTGTATAAGTAAATATGGACGTTTACGTACGTTTTTATCTACTTGTGACAATATTATCTGTGTGGAACAGATATGTATTTTAAAAACATAACCTAACGGACATATTCGTCATCACTCGGGTATACGTTATTATTTTTATAGCCAGTTCTGTGGAAAATAATTATCCATTCTCTAGTAAAAAAGTTTAAATCAACTTGTTTTAATCTAGTTTTTACTATCGTCTACTAAATACACTTAGAAACTCAAATAGATTTAATTAATATTTAAGTAAAGGAAAGCCTTTTTTAAGCCGGATACCTATCTCACAAACAGATTGACAAAATGTGATCGTCTCGTCTCTATTTAACGATTACTTACATGTAATGAATTATATGTACTACCCAGCATTGACCCTAGACCGAGTTTGTATTGAAAGTACCCTATGTGTTACTCTGAGACATTATAATCTATTTATCTACATTTACGACAAACTGTACAAAACAAACATACAAACATGCTCACACACTTTCGAGAATGTATTATTCATATACATAATATACATATTTCAGATTATCATTGTTGTATTAATTATTTCCAATTATTCATGTAATTTGCAATACTATAGGTAATACTTTCATAAGCTGACTCTTCGTTTGAAAACTATCTGATGTTATTAAAAAGATATTGTTTGTAGATGTGGTTTTATTCATTTATTTGTTATTTTTAATTCTGTTATTATATACACTGTCATATATTCAATATTTTATTAATATCACTCCTTCTGTATATCAACACGCCAACCATAACCACACTGGTGACACCCTATTGAACATTATTATTTGAAAAATTTTGAAGATAAAATATGACAGAGAGCAGCACTACATCTACAGTACGAGACGGTATGTCATCTGAAATTTTTAAAGTAGCAATAAAAGTACCACCCTTTTGGCCCGAAGAGCCGGAAATATGGTTTGCTCAGGTGGAAAGACAATTCGCTATTTCAAAAATTACCAATGATTTAACCAAATTTAATTACGTAATAGGTCAACTCGACCAACAATTTTCTAAAGAGGTAAAAGACGTAATTATCAACCCGCCTGTAGAGGGAAAGTATGACAAGCTCAAATCAGAATTAGTTAAGCGTCTCACTGCATCAAAGGATAAAAAGGTGAAACAATTATTAATGCACGAGGAGCTGGGAGATCGCAAGCCCTCGCAGTTTCTAAGACATTTGCAGAGTTTAGCTGGACCGAAGGTACCGGATGAGTTTCTTCAAACGATTTGGACCAGCCGCCTTCCTGCACGTATTCAGACCATCCTTATAGCACAACCTACGGCTGATTTAGAAGTATTAGCGGATTTAGCTGATAGAATCATGGATCTCACGCCATGTTCACCCCACGTTGCTGTCATGAGTCGTGATGGTGCAGGCCCTAGTTCCAGTAATATGGCGAACGAAATAGCAGAGTTGCGTAAACAAGTGAAGTCACTCACTATGCAATTGGATCGTCGTCAGCGCTCTAGTTCTAGGAATTCACATTCACAACGTAGCCGATCATCATCAAGGTCCCATAACAATTATAAAAAGTTTCCCGTATGTTGGTATCATCATAAATTTGGTAGCAAAGCGAACAAGTGCGTAAAACCATGCGACTATAGTCAGGAAAACTAACAAGGCAGTCGACAGTGGCGACAAGCGATTGCCCAATTTCCAGTAGTCGCCTTTTCGTTACGGATCGGAATACAAAGACTCAGTTTCTCGTTGATACCGGAAGCGATCTCTGCGTCTTTCCTCGATCACTACTACGAGAACGTCGCACCAAGACCAATTATCAACTGCGTGCCGCCAACGGAAGCGTCATCGATACCTACGGCTACGCACATTTGAATCTGGACTTGGGACTACGTAGGCAATTTCCATGGAGATTTGTAGTTGCTGATGTAACTAAGTGTATTATAGGTGTAGATTTTTTATCATTTTATAATTTAATTGTTGACTGTTATAATCAATGTTTAATAGATAATACCACTACACTTACTGCGAAAGCTACACATTCACATCCTTCCAACACAATTCAATCTATTAAAGTTTTAATAGGTGATTCTAAATTTCATAATATTTTGGCTGAATTTCCTGAAATTACTCGACCAGCAGGTGTACATAGAACCATTACACATAACACAGTTCATCACATACGCACCACACCTGGTCCACCCGTTCATTGCAATCTTCGACGTTTAGCTCCAGACAAGTTAAAAATTGCGAAACAAGAGTTTTAGTCAATGTTGGCTAATGGTATAGCTAGACCTTCAGAGAGTCCATGGGCATCCCCATTGCATTTAGTAGCTAAAAAAGATAACGGTTGGCGTCCTTGCGGTGATTATCGCATGCTAAATGCCAGGACGATTCCTGATAGGTATCCGATTAGACACATTCATGATTTTACTCATTCTATCTCCGGTTGTAAAGTGTTTTCTACTATTGACCTTGTTAAAGCGTATAATCAGATACCTGTCAATATCGAGGACATACCGAAGACAGCTATTACAACTCCTTTTGGTTTATACGAATTTCCGTATATGACCTTCGGGTTGCGTAACGCAGGTCAATCTTTTCAAAGATTTGTTGATGAGGTGACTAGGGGACTTGATTTTTGTTATAGTTATTTAGACGATTTCCTTATTTTCTCCCGATCTGATGCAGAGCATGAACAACATTTACGTACAATTTTTACTAGAATGAGAGAGTACAGTATAATAATCAATACAGCTAAATCAATTTTCGGTGCATCAGAAGTTACATTTTTAGGTTATCGAATTTCTGAGAAAGGTACAAAGCCACTTGACACTAAGGTGAAAGCTATTAAGGATTTTCCTCCACCAAAAGATGTCAAGCAGCTTAGACGGTTTTTGGGCATGATAAATTTTTATAGGCATTTCTTACCTCATGCTGCTCAAACACAGGCACCCCTCAATTCTCTTTTAGCAGGTTCAGTTAAAGGTTCTAATCCTATAAATTTAACAGGAGATACTCTGAAAGCTTTTGAATCTTGCAAAGAAAGCCTTTCCAATGCTACACTTTTAGCCCATCCTGATTGCGAAAGTAATCTCGCGTTAGTGACTGATGCTTCAGATACAGCTATAGGTGCAGTATTACAACAACTTAAGAATGGCGTTTGGGAGCCTTTAGCATTCTTTTCTCAAAAACTCAGTCCATCTCAACAAAAATACTCACCATATGACCGGGAACTGTTAGCAATCTATGAGGCAATAAAATACTTTCGTCATATGCTCGAGGCTAGACATTTTATAATTTATACTGACCATAAACCGATCAGTTTTGCTTTTCATGAACGGAAAGTTAACTGCTCGCCTAGGCAGTATAGGCATTTAGATTACATTTCTCAGTTTACCACTGATATCCGTCACATATCCGGCAAGAATAATGTGGTAGCTGATACATTATCTCGTGTTGAAGAGCTTCAATCACCAAGCAGTTTAGTGGCTATAGCACAAGCACAGGATACTGATTCTGAATTATCTCATTTCTTAGTTAATCCAAATTCTTTGCGTCTTGAAAAACGAGAATTACCTGGAAGTTGCGTTTCCTTGTATTGTGACATCAGTACAGCAACTCCTAGGCCGTTCGTACCCAAGACATTTCGAAGAGAAATCTTTAACAGTCTGCATTCTCTGAGCCATCCTGGTCCTAACGCGTCTGCTAAATTAATAGCTCAGCGCTTTGTTTGGCCTGGCATCAGAAAGGACTGCAGATTGTGGGCTAAGTCATGTATAGCTTGCCAACGTGCTAAAGTAAGTCGTCACGTATCCACTCCATTAGGCACTTACGACTTACCTCGAGCACGATTTAAAATAGTGCACATTGACATTATTGGTCCTATGCCTTCATCTCAAGGTTATCGGTACTGTCTCACTGCTGTTGACCGATTTACAAGATGGCCGGAAGCAATACCTATAATGGATATTACAGCAGAATCTGTCGTTAAGGCGTTACTTTCTGGCTGGATTTCTAGATTTGGCTGTCCTGAAGAAATTGTTACAGATCGTGGTCGTCAATTCGAGTCGGCAATGTTCGAACATTTGTCTAAGATGACCGGGTTTCAACACAAACGAACTACAGCCTATCATCCAGCTTGTAATGGTCTTGTTGAACGATTTCACAGGCAACTTAAAACTTCAATCATGTGCCATGCAAATAGTTCTTGGACGGAATCACTTCCGTGGGTATTATTAGGTATTCGAAGTTCTTTTAAGGAAGACTTACAAGCTTCTCCGGCAGATCTTATTTATGGAGAGCCGATAAGACTGCCTGGTGAATTTTTCGATCGTTCTTCAGAAGGATCGACCGATGTAACAGATTTTCTTGCACGTTTACGTACATTTGCAGATAAAATTAAACCTGTTGCTGCTTCACGTCACAGAAGTGACAAAATATTTATTTTCAAGGATTTAGCCACTACCAATCACGTTTTCCTCCGAGAAGATGCTTTGCGTAGTTCACTTCAACCAGCATATACAGGTCCATATGTTGTAACACATAGAGGTGATAAAATTTTTAAATTGCTTGTAAAGGGTAAAGAAGTCACTGTGTCTATCGATAGGCTTAAACCCGCTTTTATTCTCAGTGACCAACACGAGTCTACCAATCAGGATTCCAATATTACCACAAATCGTACTACTAGTTTTGGACGTCGTGTACATTTTCCAGACTTTTATCGCCCTTAGCCAGGTCTCAAGGGGGGAGTAATGTAGGCTACCAACCTACTTGCATAAACTAGCCATATAACACAGACACATTTTAATAAAAAGTATATTGTCAAAAAAAATGTCAAATTAATTCGCTTGCAAATTACTGATCTAAATGAGTTGTAAAATTAATTATTATTTGTTATTTTTAATTCTGTTATTATATACACTGTCATATATTCAATATTTTATTAATATCACTCCTTCTGTATATCAACACGCCAACCATAACCACAAATAAATTACTCGCATGAAAGAGTAAGTATATATATTTTCCTTTCCAATCATTACAAAGAGCATTGTATAAACAATATTATGTTAATTGTATGTTGTATTATAGGTAATGGATTACCAAAGTTATTAATAAAATATTTATATGCCTTAAGGAAAGCCCTATTTCAGACCTTAAAAACAATTTAATTTCAATTTACTTTATGACCAAATAAAGTCTAATTTCATAATTACTACTATAAATTAAATAATTATTACAACTAAGTATATTGTTATGTTGACTAAGTAGCAGCAGGTCACGTGGATTAAAATATTGTAGAACTAATAAATATTTGCACGGGAATTTGTAAACTTCACTGAGAATTGGTTTGGTATAGTTTTCCTCTAGACAATATATTTACACATGAACAAATAATAGAATTTAATAAAAGCGTAATAAAGGACTGTAAATTTCTGCAAATTACACAATATATGTATAACATCTCGAATGAACAAGTTGTGAGTTCCCGATTTCCATCATAGTACAACCGATAGCACAAATGAAAATTTTGTACTGTCTATCTGGATAAATGGCAATCCTCCACGACTTACACACTTAACTATTTTCTTAGTTATCCGATTGAAATAAAAGCACATAGCATTTTGAGTGAAATTTACCACAATACATTAGTGAAAACCACATTCAAATCATATATACAATCAGTTGCATTTTTATAAGTCATATGTAGAGCTGCCCTCGTATTTGTAAATGAATTTGTATTTTATAAATACAGCATGTTTAGTACCCATAGTACTACCTCTAATTTAGGACTGGATGACGCTAATTAGCCTGTGTTACAATAATAATAATAATAACAAGATAAAAGCTAAACCGCTAGACGTCTGAGGCCGTCAATTAATGTTATATACAAACTTCTCGTATTACAATATACAATATTAGTTACCATACTCCTCCGAAACGGCTTAATCGATTTTTTATGAAATTTTGTATGCATATTCAGTACGTCTGAGAATCGGCTACTATCTATTTTTCATACCCTTAAGTAATAAGGATTCTCATTAACATTAACTTCTAAAATTTTTTTTATGTGTCAATGAAGTATTCATACAATTCAACTCTAAATTTTTCCCTTCTATTACCAACCCCTATTTTTAAATAGCGATGTTAATTTATATGGTAAAACAACGTTTGCGAGGTCAGCTAGTCAATTGTATATATGTATGTATATACATATTTATATATTATATTATATTATACTTACGTTTGATCACAACGTAAAATCGATAAATTTAAAACTTCGGCTGCGTGTAAAAATAGAAACCAATAGAGTTTAATGTTCAAAATAGACTTACAAGAATCCAGATGCTAGTCTGTATTAATATTGTGGTCCTCACTGACTGACTCATAATCGACATTACCAGCTTCATAACAACCAAATTTAAACACTGCAAAACATACTTGTAAATATTTGTACCCATTGTTATTATAATTGCGCGGACAGATGAGTATCAAATTTCGCACAATTACAGTTTATATAGAGAAAGAGTGCAGAATGTACTCGCATTCGGCACTCTTTTTCTTTTTTTTTAATTATGTATAAAAAAATATTAAATCAATATAAAAGACAATCCACACACTACCATGTATTTAACACAACTTTGTGGTCAAATTGAGAATAAATTAATATTTTTTTGTCTTTAATATAATTTGCCTATAGTCTTACTGAATGTTAAATAGATTATGATCGAATTTTGATCACTGAGCAATTATTAGTTGTTATAATTATAAAATAATTTTTTCAATGCATCTTAGAATTTTTTTTTTAATTGGGACGGGACGACTTTTTTGATGTGACAAACGAAACGTCGTCCAACTTGACGGTAAATGCAACCGTAACCTATATATTAGTATGAGTAGTAGTAGAGTACGCCTTATGCCTTATCATTCAGAATGACATAGGTATTCTGCCTCCGCACTCTATAACTTCTACCCAAACGCAGCTTACTAAAAGCAGCATGCGGCTGGCTGATATATGTAAGATAGAAGTACCCACGTAGACGACTTTTAACTACTATAAGGGAAAAAAAAATTTTTAATAGTTAATAGTGGAATATTGCTCACGCCTTCGCTTGGCTAATATGACATAAAGGATGAATTCATTCTGCACAGTTTTCCGATAGTGATGTATTCACAAATATTATTAACCTCATTTATTTACTAGATAATTAGTGTTTACCAATAATTGTTTGCATTATTAAACCGCTACATGTAGGGGTAATAAGGGATATCTGTAATTTACATATTTTAATACGTTTTTTTTTGTTATTTTTAATTAAAATCAACTTGTTATTCTCTCTACAAAAGTATTAGTAGTAATATTGTACTGTTATATATTACTGTTGGTAGTATTAGGTAGGTTAGTAGTACCCTACTGGTATTTAGATAATAATAAGAAATTGAGTCCTTGATATAAAATAAAATCAAATATTTGCAGTAAATTTATTGCTTTCAATTAATTGCGTATTATATTAATCGATTGAGTGGTGTAAATTGTGAATTTACAAGAATTTTGAACACAGTTTTTTATTTCATTTACATAGATTTAGAGACACTAATGTAAGTACATAGAAAATAATGCATCTTATCATCTATTATTAGTACTCGTACTATGGTAGATTTTACACATAGAAATATTATTGCATATTTCTATGAGTAAAATCTACCAGAAACTCATTTTAATAAAAACGATATAAACATATACAATTACATTATGTTAATCTTAGTCTAGATAATAATATTTAATTAGATTGTCTAGCATCTATTTTAGGCTTATAGCATCAACAGCCGCAAGAGTATCCTATAACTGGGCAAAAATCTCCGTCTTGTGGGTGCCTCTAGATGTGCAACTATGCGATAACCCAAACTCATATGACAAGGTCTAATTCGAGGTGACGCAAAATCGAGAAAAATGCAATAAATATAGGAGAGATTTGCACAGCAGTAGGATAACATAGGTATTTTTAAGTAATGTGAATGGCATACTAACTTATTGCCACTCGATCGTAATCGGTAATATATAGATACATGGATAGCACTACGAGCATTAGATTAACATATGACACCCGTGATACCACTCTTATACCGTGATACCGTGCTGCGTTGCTATTCCAAAGACTAAGATGTTATGTCCCTCGCCTTTATCTTTCTAAATAAATAAAATATACAAAGAGAAAATTGTATACTGGCCAAAAGTAATGTCTGATTGTATCCTCTACCGGTAAACAGCCGTAATAAACAAAAATTATATTATTTAGCATTGATAACACCCAACAGTACACCGTTTATAAATATTATCTTTTCCCAAATTTCATCGTCTTCATATTTATGTACCAGTTGTTTTCGTCTTTCCACATTGGAGATATATTTGTCTCTGTTCTCTATCTATAGTTACCATTAGAACTATTTTAGACATCGTATAAAGTGGCTACAAAGAAAGCTTAATAGTACAGTTTCGTGAAATTTTAGATTTTTTATTATATATTGAACCATACCATTCAGTCATACTTCAATAAAGTATTTGGTCATTCACACACTTAATCGGAAACATATCAACTGATAAACTAAAATAACAAAATATTTGAGTAATAGAATTTAAAGTTAAAATACAAGTACTAAAGTCGATTTTTCAAGTTTCATAGATACCTATATATTTTATTTCAGTTTATTTTATAACCTTCAGTATATCTAAATTGACATATAATATAGATAATCATTTCTCTGAACTAGTCACTGCACTTTTTCACACGAATAATATTTACTACTAACAAGCACTAACTTTATATATAATGACACATTGTGCTTTCGTTTTGTCTTTTTTTATAGCACATTCTTTCCTTAATTTTTTTTTTTTTGCCCACCAGATTAAAATTTTTATTAAAAGTGTACAATGATACAATTAAAGTGACCATTTATTCCGCTTTGGGCAAAACAATACCGCTTTAACGCTATCTTGGTGAAGAGACTATTACAGATATTAGTAAAATTATTATTAGTCGAATCTTGGATAAGAACGTATTATGCTACTAATACTAGCTATACACGCTATATGACCTGAATCAGGATCGGTTTTTCTTTGATTTTCGAATTTGAAAATACTATAGAATTTTTTATACATAAATAATATATACATGTTGTTACTTTCTTCCCTTAACTTTTTATTTCAATATCGGTAAGTACCAACAAACGCACCGCATCTCGTGCAGTAATGATCGACGTGTAAACATGAGTTCATGCAGTATGGGATACACACGCAAGGCCAACATCTGGAATAGAGAAAAACATTATATTTTTAGAATGAAATTATATTAGTTATTGGGAACGATTTGGTGTAATTGTTGACATCAAACAATTGTGTGTTAATTTATATTTCTATCCATGTTTAGGTTAGTATCACCATGACGTCGCCAGTTAATGCTGCGGACTGGAGAGAAGGGCACTGTTAGTAATGTGGACTTTTTCCCACATTGCTAGCAATGTACTATGTCAGGTTGACCTCCTCGCAGTTCCCCCTGGTAACCATCATGATAAATTGCTGCTGAATTTGTCTTAATGGATTAACTGACCTACTCAGGCTTGCGGTAACCTATACCGTTATTGCAGACTGATGCACCATTCCATTTTTTCAATGGATAATCCATTGAAAACAATGCCTTTGGCTGGGAGAAATGACGGATATAATGTGGAGTGTTGACTCCATCCCTAACAAGTACACACTAAGTGATACATTGCTAAGGAATGAATTTACCATGATGGATTAACTAACCTAATCTCATGCTCATCTTATCATCCTCTACTTGTGTCCCGTAAGCTCAGGCTGAAGCACCATTCCATTATCATACATAAACAAAACCCTTGACTTCTATATCTGACAGAAGGGACATTAAAGTAAATCAGTGACCTAGCGGTTTAGCACCGATGATCATGGGTCCGATATTCATCGATTCCAGTATAGACATTTGTATCTATTATTATGGTTTTTTGTGTTGGTTAAGTTATATTATCAATGTACAACATATATTATGCATATATTTGTTAAGTATCATCTTTCACCATTTGATAGTTTGTAATACTGTAATAGTTAATAACACTATTAGCTAGTTATAAACAACTTACCCAAGTAACAACAGCAGTAATGCTGTCAAGTGTGTCCGCATTGTTGGCCTCTGATCAGTCCTGGTGACCATCTGTTGGTTACAAGTATTGCAGACTGCTATAGCAGGTTCCGGTCCCATCTGTTGACCGATTAGTACCACAGCAGCAGCAGGAGGACTAGTAACAGTAACAGGCGCTGGTATCACGTGGACCTGTGTTACCGAAGGTCCAGCAACAGCAACAGGTGGACCCGGATAGGGAGGCGGACTGGAGATCGGCCGATCTGCCATTCCCTCAGTCATCGGTTGAGTTTCGGTTACGTTTTTAGCTGCAATAATAATGTTTTTGATTGTTATTGATAACTAGCTTTTGCCCGCAGCTTCGCTCGCGTTAATTTATCCCCTTAAGGGTGGAATTCATGAAAATCCTTTCTATGGGGATGCCTACGTCATAATAGCTTTATGCATGCAAAATCTCAGCCCGATCGATTTAAAATTGACAAAGTTTCAAATCAAATCAAAATCCATTCTTAGCGGATGCCTACGTCATAACATCTACATCTACATCTACATATATATTTAGATTGGCGACTGTTTGATTGACTTCGGAGACAACGTAATCCATCCATCCTGGTCCAGTACTGGTTGGAGAGTGAACAGAAGAGTTGGAGAGTGGAACATATAGCAGACTTAAAAAAGTTTGCATTAGAAATAGAAATAATCTTTATTCAACTAAATTTAATGATAAGCACTTTTGAATAGTCATAATATTTTTAATCTACCACTCATTCAGAACGCATACTCATCACAAAAAGATTGAGTTTGGCTCAATCTTTTTGCATGCATGCAACTTGCATGTTGTTCTTTAAAATAAATTTTGTACTCAATTATATTTTCAAGAATTTTGTGTGAATACAAACTGCCAAAGGGTAAAGTTTACATAAATAAATAAATAGTTACTTGAGTAACAAAATAAATCAGTCATAGTTATCAGAGCAGAACATTCCAAGCGCCACCCAATCATGAGTATAACGCTAGAGCCAGCCAATACTGTCCTTAATCATATTTTAAGAAACCCATTTGGGATAGGTTGCTTAAAATATGATTGAGGATCCATATCCAGACTGACGATGTCGTGGTGGGCCACGTCATCGTCAATCTGTATAGACTGAGAGACAGCATGACTGACTCATTACTTAATAAATCATGTTAAAAATATTCATCTCAGGTTTAGTTATTAGGCCTCATTTTATTATATTGTGTTAGCAAAAAGCTGTCAGTTTATGTGATGGAAAATGGTAACTCTCACATATGTATTAACAAAAACAAGACCATGGACGTTATACGATAATGTGACATCTGTGGAACCTTAAAGCATTACGATTCCTAAGGACAAAATTCATGCCTTTGCGACCCTTAATTCTTAGCATTTATATTTATAAAATAACGCACCTCTCGAAGAATTAAGTAGTATCAAAATAAATATGTATATACGTTAATAATCCAATAGATTAATAATATTGGGTCAAAAACGTGCAGATTATATTTTTATGTACTTGTTTATTTAAAATAGAAAGGTTCCAATAAAAACAAATGAGTGTCCCCTTGCATCAAGCAGTAATATCATGTGTATAGGTATAGACGAGTAACAATAGATGCCTACATGTATACATAGGGTAGCAGTACGGAAATTGGGTGTGACGCTCCTATTGTACTCCTAATACCTTGTCATTCCTTAGGAATAAGGTATCCTATGAACATGTTTTGGCCTTTCAGACAGACAATTTGCGTGATTTTTCATACGATTTCAAAAGGTATTTGTAACAGTTCTACTACAATTATTAGAGTTGAAATCAGTTTATTTATTAAACTTTTCTATAAATTATATTATTATAAGAAACCTTACCGTCTTCACTCATTTTGGCACACAATTTTCCAATGAAGGTCACAACTATAGTACTTCATTAACTCACAGTCAGGGCGAGCAGAATAACGACTGTATCGAAACCGATCGGCTTTATCCGTATTATCGCATATTTATTTATGATAAAGTCCAAATTCGATGATAAAGGTTTTGTGTTGCCGGTAAAATCGCCTTTAAGAATAAATACTTAAAGTACAATAAAATTTAAACATTCGTTCCATAATGTGGTTTATTGAAAAGAAATAAAGTCATTTTTATACTTAACTGATATAATTTGAATAAAAATGTGAAGATCAGCAAAATTTATAATTTATGTATCTCAAATTAAAATTAGATATCGTATTATGATTTTTAGGGTTTATAAATAACCTTTTAACTGCAAAACTGAAATGCCATACCGCTTGCGCAGAAATATTTACCGGCAAATATTTACTAAACATCTATTTGGCATATAATTTATGTGATTATATAATAAAAATATAGCGGTATGGCATCGTTAAACCTGGCCTACATATTTCTTTCAATCTTATCAGATTTTATTAGTATCTAATTTTCAACTGAAGTATAATTAGAATGTAATCATACTTTAATGATAAATATGTCTATACTTATCAAATAAAATTAACAGTAGATATTTATTTATTGATGAATCGAAATAGTAATTTATTTTGCTTCTTCATATTACTATTACTACATTCTATGAATGATAGTATAAAGAGCAATTTACCGACTCCTATTTAGGATTATCAATTAATTCTTACAAATTAATACTTCTTCCACATTGCCAGCAATTCAAAGACTCTAACCAAAGTATACGCAATAAAAAATTTCATCTCTATGACAGATAATTATTAAGAGCTATTTACCGTTTCCTGTTAGAATTTTGTAGAGAAACCAAGATAATGGATATTGATGACGCAAATATTACAAAGTATTAGTTGCTGAATAAATTCAGTTGATAACGAAATGATTCATTCTACCTATATTTATTATTTATGATATAGTATTATGAGTCATATATATTTGTTTGTGTTTAATATTCTCAATTTCAGATTTTGAATTTTTTTCAGGTTGGTACAAAAACATAATAAGCGGCCTTTGTAAATGAATAATATATATATGTCAATTCATTCGTCCATTTATTTGGAGCAGAAATAATGCAGACATCATGTTTAATTATACTTAAATATACTTACTTTTATGTTGACACCATTGATGATAGTGGACCATATTGGTCTACTGTTTAGAATAGTTTTAGCTCATATTTTATTCATTCAGCTCACTTGACACTCTTAAAATATTTGTATGGATTGAAAAAATATGGTTTATTACTTACATGCAAAGAACATTTCTTATAAATTTATTGGCGACTCTTTTAATCATAAAAATTATTCAAACGCGGAATTTATTAACAGCACTGACAGTAGGTATGTAATTTTTTTCAATCATATTTAAATTAAAAGTATTTAAAGACAAATTTATTTCAATAATATTTATTTTAAGATATATAAACATAATTTTAAATAAAATCAGGTACCTATGGTAAAGTTATAACACAAAATGCAAATAATAAATAATAATAAAAGAATAGAACTTTGCTATAATTATTTATAATATTGTATATATAATAATATAAATATAATAAGTTCACATATTTTTTTAAATATTATTAATAATACATTATAGATATTGCAATTCTTAATGTCGAATCAATTAACAAGACCGTGTGAATATTGTACTTCGATAAAAACTCTCAGATCGCAGTCTCAGCTTTAAATTTTTATTTGTTGTCTATGACACCAAAAACAAAATTAACAGTCTATGGTAATTTAATTTTGGTTATAAGATCCAATATAAGCACCACATGTTGTGCAGTAGTGGTTTGTTTGCATGCAGGAATCCATGCAGTATGGGAAGCAAACGCAACACCAGCATCTGTAATTGTAATAAATATTCTGTAGATACAAAATAAACTCAACAACTAACGTAAGAGATAAATTTATAAATTGTAGGTAATAAGAATGACATACTTGTCAGACCACTTGACAGAAAGTAATAACCGTCACCAATATATATGAACAGCATTACGGATATCAGGTTATCATGCAACGCCCGTGATTACCACTTATGTTGTTATTTCAGAGAACTAAGGTACGAACTAACTAAAAAAACAAACACATATGACAATGTATATGGAAGAGCGGGATGTACCTGACACAGGCATTTCTACACTCACTAGGTCATCCCAACTATTATCCTAAATGTTATTGTAACCGAATTGTTTTTTAAAGAAATAAACAGTTTTCATTTTCGTTTCATTTCATACTCTTCTTATCCCGTATCTTTTTGTAATGTGTTTAGGCAGTGAGCCTAAACACACTGTACGGCGCAGCTTATAAAGCAGGCTGTTTGCCTTTGGCATGACATGAGCATTCAAATATACCCAGCGAAACGTGGGAGTGACAAGTATTACGTTACCGTGATATCGATAGTCGAAAACGCCACTCATAATCGTGTCTTAGTTAACAGTCGCTGTACTATATTTTATTCTTCAAAAGTGCTTACATGAAGTTTATTTGTATAAATGATTTTCTATTCTATTTTATTCCTTACTAATATTATACTAGCGAAAGTAACTCCGTCTGTTTGTCGCGTTTTCTTGTCAAAACTACTAAACCGATTTGAAATCGACACAGATCGTCTAGACCCTGAGAAAGCACATTTCACATTAAAAAATATTTAATTAAGAAAATGGTTGAAGGGGAGATGAAAGGTTGTATGGTGGTATCGTCATTGTCAAAACTAGAAGTTTGAAGCTTTTAGGCTGAATGGGGATGAAACTTGAACTTGAACTGATGTTTGAGTTAAAATATTTTTCCTTAATTTGATCAAGGTCACTAGCAGCTTACTACAGCTAGTAATTTATAAAACTTAAGCCATTGGTCTTCAGATCTTCATCTAACTGTCATAATATAGCAAATTCTAGGTTAAATATTGAGTGCACAATATAAATTACACAAAAAAATTACCCCAAACCGCACAGAAGAAGCGCAAACAAATGAGTCTTTAACGTAGGGTTTGTTTCAACTCTGGTAGTCATTTCTTGATTACATGTTCTACAGACTATTCTTGAGGGTTGGTTGCCCATTGGTTGACTAACAATCACTGGAACCGCCACGGAAGTAACTGGTACCGCAGCTTGCACCATCGGTACCTGACGAACCACCGTGACTGCAACAGGCTGGGTTGCTATTGGCTGTACTCCAACAGGTGGCCCAGGGTATGCAGGTGGTGCAGTCATAGGTACATCTTGGAAATGCACTTCTCCTCCTTTGGCTGAAATATCAATTATTTGCTAAACTTCATATATAATTTTTAATTAAGTTGAAATGACCTACAAGTTTTTTATGTAACTTGAAAGCAAATAAGCCAACGACCAATGTGATGGTAAGTGGTGATCGTCGCATTTATACATGATATGACAGGAGGACATTATGGCATCTTGTGGCAGCCTGTGATAACTATCAAGCCTTCCACACATCATTAGTTTATGCAAACAGTCGGAATATTGTTCTATGTGACTTGTGTATTTGGTCCATTTAGCACTCGCCAATGCACGAATCGGATCAGATTCGTACAACAATCGTACGGCTGAACCTAATAATATGAGGCCAGATTAATTAATAAAAGAATACATAATAGTTTCCAATTTAATGTTCTAAAATTACAAACCGTTCCAAAATAAAAATAACAACCTAACTACTAAATGGGTATGTTCATTTATAGATTTGAACAAAGCAAATTTTTATCATTACTGAATATACATTTTTTTGTGATTACCTATTATATACACTATATAATTACTCATATATTTAGTATACTATTTACAAAGATATTATACATTTCAGCCGTTTATAGACCCACATATTAATGAAAACATATTCTATGTTTTATAATATTACTAAGTAACTTACAGATTTGTTTTCATGATTAATTTCAATTCGATATTAATACTTAACCATTAACAGAATGTTAAAAAGGTTATTACATTATTCAAAAATCAACAAACCTGTTTCCGGATTCATTTTCGCACTAATATAAATGTACTTGTTACTACAATTCCAGTCGAACTATATTCTAATGGATTACTGCTGTAATATATTTATGAGCCATTCTGTTTTGTGTGTTTTATCTGTTTTTATCATTGACCAGATAAGAATAAATAATACCTCTGATAACAATTACAAAGCTGATGCATAGGTACATTGTGAAGCTAAACGAATAATTAAATTATCAACTATCAATGAGTACAATAATCATTTTTATTGCCAATTTTATAAAACAGGCATTCTCATAAACTATTATATTCTTATTAAATACGCAGGGTACATTCCAGATAATTTACTACTAGTATCTAAACTAGTCCGAGCCCGTGTGATAAATAGTTAGATAGTTTTTTCAAACCATAAATAAGTCATCCTTAATGGAATCATTGTAACCGTCAGGCAGTTGTCCTTTAGCCGATAGTCCATAAGTCCTTCCGCGGGTTCGAATGCCATCTGCACTCATCCCCTACCGTTCGGTGTGAAACTGCGTCTAACAGCATCTTCTTCTTATGCATTATTCAACCAATTTTTTGGTGTAGAACTCGTGCAATCCTCTACATTTTATTTTGGGTAATTGGTATCTAGCCAAAATAAATTGTATCATCTTGCCACCTCATCTGTATTCTTTCTATATTTGCAGTCTATTGCATCCTTTAGGTCTCCAATACGTCCTCACATCACGAATATGACTTAAAGGCTACACTACTCTGTCCATTACTATTTCAACATCGCCACCCTCTTAGTAGTATCATGCCTTTTGGGCCACTTATTTGTTTTCCTACATTTAAGAGTGCTTACAACTTTTGCAAAAAACCATCCTAGGCTAGTCATCCTAATCTTATCCGACTGTCAATTTCATTGCGCTGGTTTGCCTTGCATATTCCGTAATCAACAGGGTTTCGAAAATAGACGTGTTTTATTTCTCATAAGAAGCCTACTCATTTTGTAGTTAAAAAAAAATATATATTTATATAGTGCTACAGTCTGTACTGATAAAATTACCCGTTTATTCATATAACTATTAATTAATAATGGACTGTATTCTATTTTAAACAATCTATCTTCGTCAGTTACCATTGTTGTTACGGCCTCGGTGGTCTACGGTTTAGCACATCACCTTCCTTCCGCGGACGCGCATTGGTCGCGAGATCGACTCCTTGGACGGCACAAACATTTGTATTTAGAAGTAAGATGTTTTGAATCTGAGCGTTTTCTATGTAAAATATGTATGTATTTACAAAAATATATATATATATAAAATATGTATGTAACTAAGTATTTATATCAGTTCTCTACCCATAATACTAGCTCTGCTTAGCTGGGGACTAAATGGCACTATGTGGATTGTCCTGAGATATTATTATTAGTACATAATTATATCAGTAATCAAATTCTGACCGTTGTTTAATCTATATATGTTTGATCTATCCGCCCATATGGCGACACGTGTTTCGCCTCTGAATGAGGCATCATCAGGCAATGAATAGAACTCGGATATAGCTTGGAAGCCTGGTGTTGATAATATAAATCCATTAAGTAAAGGACCGCAATATTACACTTTATTTGATAAAATATATACAATATATATTACTACATAATATAGTTTATTCTATATTAATACATAGCTGGTGTATAATTCTAGAATATTCCAATATAATTAGATTGAAATTAGTTTCTAGTGGTGACCTGGTCATGATTAACAAGATGGCGGTAGATATAAACAATTAATACGAACAGCTAAATCGGGCTATGAGCTATCCGAAGTTCTTCAATAATTACTTCCCGTTTATATAAAGTGTACAATAGTGAAATACCATAGACGGATTATTAACAAAATCTTTTACTGATGATTCTCATCAGTAAATGATACCTTCTGGTGATAGATTGACCGATAATAAAGGGAGAGAAGAAAAAAAACGAAAGCATTACAAATATATCAAATGTTATTAAGTTTATTGTATTACTATAACCATCAACACGTTCATTACACATTAATAAATTTCCTAATTGTATATTAGTCTTTTCACTTGGACATAATATTAGGTTATTTACAAAAAAATGTACATTAAATAATAAATAAATTTGTATTCTACTAAAAATATATATACATAAATTGATAATAATTTTACTAAATTCTTTATTAAATACATTCTGAAATAAAATACACACACAAGTAACTACAGGTATAAATGACGACCTAATATTATAAATACAAGAAATTGTCTATGTATAATGCTAGTAAATTACTTTTATACTTACAAATTCATCTATGTTTTAATAAGTGTTTGTAAATCTTGCAATTTGTACTGTAATCGTCTTATTGTATAAAAACAAACAAGATATTAAAATGTATTATATGTTATATCGGAGGAGATTTATTGTGTGTATTAATATTTAATGAAGTCATTATTCAATTTTGTTTTACTTTATCGCCTGCAGTATTAATAAAATTATAATAATATTCCATGGCCTATTATGTATATGACATACGTTATTAGTGCCTATATTATAGTACAGAAGATTAACAATATTATAGAATTGTAGTACTTGGCACAACTCTTAATTACATTTTTAGGAAACCCAATGAAACACTGGCAAGTAAAAGCGAAGCTTCGACTGATACTTTGGTTTTAAACCCGTAATAGTAGGGAAAAAATTATAATACAAAAAATTTGATGTTCAGATGCGGCTATTATATTCTACATGAATAAATGATTATGTATTAGATTTGCGATATCACGGCACTGAGTTTGAACGCTAACAGATGAAGATGAGCAGAAAAAGGAACAACTTGTTCCCAACAAAGTAAGCAAAATGTAGTTATTAAAGTTTTGTTTACCCTTTTTTTTATGTAATAATAATGGTCAGATTTATTTCTATATTTTAATATGTATATTATTTTGAACGTTTCATACTAAATAGATCCTGTTTTTTACAATTTTTGCACTTAACTTCTTAGAGCTTTTCTCTCAATTTATTATTGGGAACCTAGAGTAGGTAGGGTAGGTTATTAAGACTATATGACTAATCTTGTATGTGTTTTATCATAATTACTGATGAAGCTAGCGGAAGTTAAAAGCAGGGTGCTAATGCGGATTATGGTACTCAAATTGGTTCATGCCCCGGCTGACTTAAACGGCGCCTTGTTGTTTCTGTTGTACTATGTTATTGTTGAGAATATATAAATATATATATTCTACGGAGAATGAACTTAGAAATTATAACTGCCTATGTATGCGTTGCAGTTAGGACAATAATGATTGGCGTTGTTACATGAATCCATGCAGTACGGTGCACACACGCAAGGCCAGCATCTGAAATTAATATTTAACATGGTGTTAAAAAAAAATATATAAATACATATGTATTTGTATAAATAGCTAAAATCCTTACTAATCAAATATTATTATTAAAAATGAATGTATGTCTGTTTATTGAATTTTCGGGACTAAATATCGGACGAATGTTAATGAAACTCGACATAAAGATAAATAACACAAAAATGAATATATTTCAAAAAAATATCTGGAAAGAGAGTACAAATGAAGTCGCCAGTAATAGCTAGTGTTCAATATTAATAAATGTTTTTTGTGTTTCAGTAATATGTTACCTACTGAATATATAACTATGTAATATTATCATAATTTATTATGTAAATAAGCTACTTCTGGGAATTCTCGAATGAGTTCATCACAGAGGTTTTCCCTAAAGACTGTAATGTGAGCACGTCAAAATATTTATTCTAGATTAACAACACAAATAACATCCTTGGTATTATGTGCGTCTAAAGGTTGCAGTTTAAAGCTTTAACCATATAGCAAACCGTATGCTGAATAGTATATACATATAAAAACAAGTTTATATGTATACATAGTGAAACATATAGAAATACAAGATGTAAATATCTCTTTATTTTTATAAGATCAGATAGATAGCTCAAATAAATAATTTTAATTGATTTTACTAAAGCAACAGATTTAACAACTTGAAGATCAAAAAATTGGGAGCAACAATTTTTTATTATAAATATAATATACATATATAACTAACATTAATTTATTTTATTTATATATAATTTACGATATAATTTCAAAGAATACTTACATAAATAAACACAGTATACATGCAATAATATGAGTTTTTGGTGAAGGAGCCCTTTCAATTCTTGTAGCGATCTGATGATGGCATGATGGACAGGCCATGATTGCAGGTTCTGGGCCTACAGCTGTCGTCATTACAACTGTAACTGGGGGCGCTACGGGTTGAGGAGCATACGGAGGTGGAGGCTGTCCAGAGTTCTGGACATATATAACTGTACCTGGAAAAGATATATTAATTTACATTAACAACTTTTCCTTCCTTAATATAAAGCTGTATCCCATGGCTCACGACAATTTAGACATAAATACGTAGATGTATGTAAGTTATAAATTTCATTCAAATCAATCCAGTTTACACATTATTTATACATTAAGTTGTTCTCACAAAATATTCCTATTTATAATAGGCCCAAGGACCATCACCATTCATATTACCTGCGCTACTTATATACGATAATAAAGTACTAGTTGAAAGTGTTGTAGTTTTATTTCATATGTACATATAAAGGTAAGAAAATACAGAAAAAGACTTGGAAGACGGAGATATATCTTAGGACTGTCAAGTTATATTATAATATAAACAAGAGTGTACAATATGAGAAATACGAATATAAAGACAAATTTAGAATAAAAAATACATTTCTGATTAGCTAGTACAGTATACAGTAGAAAAGGGATCAGCCGTCTCGAGGGAAGCCAGTGCTATACTGGTCTAATTTAGCACTCAATCAGATGGCTAGCGATAGCTACAAGTAACAAGAAATGTGAAATTAAGCAATGAGAAATAACAGAAACTAAACACAAACACAATTGTATGCCGACTTTATTGGATAGGTTCGGGTCCATACTTAAAGGAGTGAATATTATGTGGTGATATTTGTAACAGATAATTCAAGTCCCAAAAACGACATCTTTAAAACTAAATTGATTTCTGTTATACCGAAAAATAATTTATTAATTGGTTACAAAAAATCACTCACCAATAAAACCTATCAACAATATTCTTAATCACTAATATAATAACAAAAAAAAAAAGTACAAATAAATAGTCTATTGGCTGAAAAATTCCAAATTATGTTTCGAGTATTATTTTCAATCTATATGTTTAAATACTACATGATAATTTATTAGGTATATTATTTGATTTCGTATATATGGAATAACATGGGACATACATAGAATAACACGTGACACGGAACAACTTTCGTTAATTTTGTGGCTGGTTTGGAAGTAAACTAATACTAAAAGTAAAAAATGTTTGCTAAGCTAAAACTAACATCTGTTTTGAATGCGATGTCACTCATTAGAAGTGAAACCGCATTCAAAACAGTTAAGAAATTTTTGAGATTCGAAAACGAATATCAAAGAGACAAAAATAAAAAAAAACTGTTTTTAGTCCGCAGTAACATAAAATAAGTAGTGTCTTTTTAATTGACATTATTTTTTCTTCAAACTGTAACATAGTACAAGTTACGTCAGACATTTTTATATTTTTTATTCCTACTCAAAATATAAGTCATAAATTACATTTCCCTTTAATTAATAATCATGTGATAAGCGCAAACAGCCTACGATTTGTTTTATGTTCATGTATGTAAATCAAATCATATTAACATTGGTATGTTTATCAGGCACGTAAGCAAAATACATGCTTAGATCTTGATAATAATTATATTATCGCATTATATGTGTGTAGGTGGGGGGAAAGGGGGAATTCATATAGTGGGTAAAACCAAATAGCTATTATTTTCCTATTTTTGTGGCATGGTTTGATTTAAAACTAATTGTTCGCCTATGCTGCGAACGAGTGTACTCATGAAAACAAATGAATCTAAATCTTCCCTTTCCAGTACAACTGCGAATTCTATCAATGACTAACATACATACACTATCATGATGTTAAACATATTGTTACCTCTATATTATGATTATATTGTTTATCTTTTTATATTTGATGTACATATTAATTTATGTAATAGTTATATCTTTCTGTGAGAGGAACAATAAAGTGTTTTTCATTCATTCATTCATATTATTATATTTAATTTATTAATACAAACACAAGAAAAATAATTAGCTAAACTGTTGCATGCTAAACTGCAACGCTTACATTTAACCCTCGATTTAAATAGACCTTCTTATCTTGCATTGGTGTCATGTGCGGTGTTAAATTTAATTGTAAATTTAATTAAATTTTGATCACATAATATTCACTTACAGACGATTATCTGATAATTAAATGATATTGTGTACTATCAAATAATGGAATAAAAATAATTATCAGTCATTGTTTAAACCTATTTTCCTTAATGTAATATAATTGTAGAGTCGTTTTTAGGTATTTGTGTTGAGATGAGTATCTTATTCATATCTATTGGAATTTCTCATAGACGAATCTTATCAAATTACTCAATATAATATAGCACTGAATAACAATTACCTTATACCAGTTCCATGGCATTAATAGTATGCTTCATGATTTTAGTAAACATTTACCCTCTGAAATTTACCACTTCTATGGTACCAATGCTGTTTTTATTTACAGAGTCATGTGTTCCCATTTAAAAAAATAAATTAAGAAAGTACACACAGTCTTCACACCTTATGTAACCTTTACACTACTTACAATGGCATTATCATTTTAATTCAAATTATCATTTTAAAGTTTTCATTTCATGATGGGAGTACAATGCAATGCAGTTACTGGCATAAGAATCTTTGGGAGAAATTAAAAAAAATATATAATAATAGATTAATCCAATCTGATATAGAACACTTAATAGACATACTTACTGTCAGTCATTTTTGTAACACTGAAATCACAAACACTCGCTAACAACACGTAACAATCTGAATATAACACCAGTGAGCAGGCATCAATACTTATATTATCACGAAGGGTATCGCCAACGTCGATTATTAACAATGATAACGGAACACCTTTGATAAAAAAAAAGCCAAATCCTTCATACCAAACGAATCTATTTTTTGATATTTTTACCTCATTTCGTTCCATGTTATAAATGATAATTGTTGTGACTAGGTTGGTATTAAAAATGACGTTTTTTAGGTGAGTTTAATTTTCTTTTTGGTCATTTTGTTGGTTTAGATTTAATAACAATAAAAGAAGTAAACACCGGAAATAATTAAAAAATAATTTGAGAGACGGTGGCGTTCGGTTCGCTTCCTGCCACGTCTAATACAAATATGTATATCTAACAATATGTGAGTATGTCAATTGCGTTCATCCATTTAAGGTAACGATAGGGAAGGTATATTTTTTGTAATAATAAAATCGAATAAGCAAATTCATGTTTTTTGATTATAATGTGCAATGATATTATTATACCTATATTAAATATTATTATACATGATAATATATCAGTAACGTAAATACAATAGAAGTAATATTTGTTTGTATTACAAATAGAGTGTAGAGAAATGATCAAAGTCAGCTGTCGCCGATTTCTATAAACAGTTCTCATAAGTTTTATATTTTTGCAGGAAACTTCGATTAAACAACAAAAGAAAGTATAATAGTGTAATGTTTTGTTTTCTGTAATATCTTTCTGCATGCCACATATAAAGAATCTTCAATAATATTTTTGAAGTTTTAAAAATTAATATTAATATTATATTGTATTATGTTTTTAAAAGCGTGACTAGATAGTCACACTTTTAAAAACATAAATTCAGTATTAAACAGTGAAACTCACGTTGATGACCTCTTTAACTTTAATGATTTCATTTCGTCACCACTAGTCAGATTTGAATCGGTGTCTGTGTCAAAACTCAATGTATTAGACTTTGTATTGGATACCTCCATTTCACCTATCAACCAGTTTACTTTGTAAGCTCTATTTTAGTTTGAAGGATAAGGTATGACAATTAGAGAGTACGGCGGATGGTCACCTTAATCCTTAGAAACAGCATCGCTTGAATAGTACGACGAGCGTCAAATACAATGTGATGAGTATAATACTTATTCGTGTAAGCATATAGATGAGCCGCATGGTTATTTTTCATTCCAATTACATAAAGAAATAAAACATTATTCCAATTAGTGTAAGACATTCACACAAAATGATGTTACTCACCTTTATTTTATTACGTCCGTAAGCAGCTCAAAGCATCTTATACTATGGCGATTATAACATAATTTCAATTTGAAAAAGAACTGCATAGGTGGCTAATATAACTTTACATAGCGTTCACGAGTAGTTATAAAATTAAATTAACTAATATGCTCAAATATTATGTACAAATATTTCATTAAAAATAATTGACCTGCTTATTCTATATTTTCCCGATATTGACCATAAAAATAATTATTATTTACTATAAGAAGGTATGTAAGGTGCGTATAATAATTTTATTATAATAATATCTAAATTTGTTTGTTAGATTCAGAAATGACTAGATATCTGAAACAAGTAATAATGATCCAAAAAACTACAAAAAAGTACCACCACATTTCTTAAAAAATCATTTGGATCCAAGGCAGGCTTAAATCCTTTAGATTAAGAAAATAATAATCATGATCAGTTAACAAATAGTAATATTATATACAGAAAATTAGTCAAATTGAGAATAACATTTCTAATAAACTCGGCTAATTATGAGTATTCTAAGTAAACTCAACCACGTGCGTTGTGGACAGTTAATGACTCGATTCGATCAATAGATACACAACATGTGAAGCACCCACAAATACTCTAGAATACATATAGATTTTGACCTTTATGTCTAATGTGATAAAGATTGTCTATATATAACTAGACGTAGTATGACGAACAGAATAGGGGACGCTGTCAGCTAACAGATAAGTTAATCTTGATGGAAAAGCTATCTAACTAATGGACGGACAGGCAGACAGACGACGAAGCCGGGCGGCCGTAGCGATCGATCACTTACCTTGGAAAACATTGTGAATCACTTAGAATTTTAGATTTTATCCTTAAATATGTAGGATTCATAATAACTACCGCTGTAAAAACAGAAAATATGTTACGCAGCCTAAAATAATCCTAAATCATAACTAACTAGCGTAGAAGATTAACTTCTACTTGTTAAAAATGTAATTTAAATAACAATACTCTAAAACATAGTTTTGTATTTATTAATTTATCTGCTCGCCCTTTAGCGGTTTAAATAGGTGGGACTGAGGTGCGTTTTTTTAAAATCTCGGTAAAAAGTATTTATTGAAAAATTAAAATCAACATCTGTAATCAAATAATCTATGATTTAAAAGATATAATACCTATTAAACTATAAGACACAAGTCGAAACGATACAGTTGTCAGACTTAAAGAATGTTTATAACATACTGTGTAATCTCAATTGAGACCGTATAATAAAGAAAATATTATAAAAGTAATGGTATATCGAAATTAAGTAATACCTACTAACGCTAGTACTATATTTTTTTATTTTCAATGCAATGTATTTTTAATTATACCATGGATTACTATAATTGGCCAACTGCCGCACTCAGAGACGTCAAATGATTACTAACAATTCCTTAAGGATTGAAATAATGTCGTTCAGAGTACCTGATTTGTAAAATAGTAGGTACGCAATATGTAGGTAACATATTGTGATCCCAAATAAATAGAGTAAACTAGAATAAGCATTTTTTCATTTAAGATTTGCTACTTGCAAATATGTAAAATTAATAAAATATTCGTGCGCGGTTTTCGTAATCTATTTGAGTAACTGTATTCATGTTAACAAAATTAAATTGCTTTGAACAAATCCAACTCCTAGCCGAATTGAAAATACTACGTGTGCGGCATTATAATATTTGAAACCCCCGCAAATTTTACGCATATAATATAATATGTAAACATTATTATTTAATATCATTACGTACAAATAAACCGTACTCTGTCTTAACAAGCAGGTTAGTTCGAATAGGGTGTTTGTGTGCATAATAACTTTAACTAAATTACTAAATTTTTCAATAAGCCCCAACATTATATTATTATTCTGTTTTTCTGATTACAATAAAAACAAACATATATAATTGTCTAGGTATATCTGTCTGTACATATTATCTATATATGTCTTTATCAATATCTTATTCTTCTGTTAACCTATTTCCCGTCCATCAAAAGGTAATCTTGATTATATGGAGCTTGGTTATTTCACAGTCTCATGGGATATATAGTGTAAAAGAACTTATATAGATTATCACATTTGTATGGACATTTATTTAGATAATAAAAAGACTTTAATAGAGCTTTTGTTATTATTAAAATCGTTCGTAATATAAATATATATATTATGAACGATTTTTCTAAGGTAATTGATTTTTCTCTTAATTTACATTTATTATATTAATAATTTGTGTTTACTATTTCTTTTATTTTCGTAGAACTCTAACATAAACTATATTAATCTACGATTAAGCTACTGGGGAAATATAATACATGTCTGATTATGTACTATTCTCGTCTCAACCACTGAATTGAACTTGAGATAACAAAGAGCGGCCCTTGGGCCTACATTTTTTATATCAAATACGTCAGTCGTTTCCAAAATGTAATATTCTTGATCGTAAAGCGTAGACCAATTTAGAGCATCTGTGTCCGTGGAGAAAGCTCGCACCGAACCTATTTTGAAACATTCCGTCGTCACCCTATTCCAGAGCCGACTTGAGAAAAATCCTAAAAATGGCTACTGAAAAATAAATGAATAATGGACTCAACATTATTCATTTATATTTCTTTATTTAAGTTTAAATGTTGACCAGATATTAAAATTATTATAACCTTTGCTACGTTAACAATAATTTTAGTAAAAAAAAGAGTACAGACTTATATTTATAACTGCTACATTTGTCCAACAATCATGTAGACAGTTTTAATCACTGTAATATTGTGATTATAACTTACAAACTCATATATTTCAAATTTTAGCGGTAGATTTGGTCATAAGGAAGTATCGTTTAAGTTTATATCGTTACAGTTATATTATATCGTTTAAGTTATAGAATCTAAAATAAACGTTACAATTTTAATTAAATTATAATTGGAATCAACAGCAATGTCAGTAATTAATTTCATTACAGTTTCAATATTAGCTACACACGTCAATGTTGCCACATGTTACATAGATACCTACTACATATGTAAATGTATATATATATATATATAAACATGCAATTCCCATTCATGTATGTGAAACAGAATTGAACGTCTTCTCAAACATTTATCTCTGCCTAGTCTAGATAAGCAATTGTCTAAATTGGACCTTTGATCATGATACCTCGATGTTTTCATCATGAATCTAATAAAAGATCATGATATGATATTAAATGAATGTAGTTGAATCACTCACACATTTATCAATCAATTGTTCTTTTTATGGAACTTTGTTAATAAAGTTTTAGAATATATATATTAATGAATATCTATGTAGTATTATTCTCTTATCTGTGGTAAATATTGAAGAATCGTAACCTTGTGGTTTACTACGCAGACTTAAACCCCAATCGTGATAAATTTGTATCTAGCCAATACCACAAATACATAATGTCAATTTAAAAATGACGTATTCTCTTGTGATGAAGATACTGATTTTGATTTGTTAACGGTTTTTTTTTATTTTTATTCACAAGACTAAGTTGGTGTTAGACCCTTCCACTCTCACGTATAAATTTAATATATCTAGCGAAATGTGGGTATGGAAACTGTTGCGTTTAAGACATTGTGAACAATTATTATACTGTATTCTGGAAATAAAAATATTTGATTCAATTTGATTTGATTTAAATACTAATGTTGACTACCCCATCTGAGAAATAAGTCGTGAAGTTGGTATTATTTAATAATTTGGTACAATTCATGAAATCCTCAATTAGGG